ACAGTCTTTTGAGCCCAGCGTGGTGGCCTAGCAGCTAAAGTCCTTGCCTTGAACGCACCAGGATCCCATATGGGTGCCGGTTCTAATCCCGGCAGCTTCACTTCCCATCCAGCTCCCTGCTTGTGGCCTGGGAGAGCAGTCGAGGACGGCCCAAAGCCTTGGGACCCTGCACCCATGTGGGAGACCCAGAGGAAGTTCCTGGATCCTGGCTTCGGATCAATGGAACACCAGCCGTTGTGCTCACTTGGGAAGTGAATCATCGGATGAAAGATCTTCCTCTCTGTCTCTCTTCCTCTCTGTATATCTGACTTTGTAATAAAAATAAATAAATCTTTCAAAAAAAACAAAAAGTCTTTTATAGAGGTTAATTATTCATTTTTGTCTGTAAATGCGGTCCTCATAAACTAACAGCAACTACCCCCTGGTTTTCAATTAGAGTAATACTGTCTGTATCTTGTGTGTGCTGTGACCATGCCTGTGAAGCCACAGGGGTAGTTTAACAAGGTATCTGAAATCAGTGTGCTGATGAATTCAGAACATAGGGTGCGCACATGCACACGCACGCGGCTTGCACACGCAGGCACACCTGTGCACACCCCTTCTGGCCCAGGAGTCTAAGCTTGCAGCTCCGTCTTTGGTCACCAGGTGGCGCGTTGTGGCTGTGAGGCGCAGGTGAAAGGAGACGTTGGAGACCCAGGTGGCAGCGGGAAGGGCACGGTGCACAGAGCCGGGCGCAGTCGCTCCATCTTGAGGTTGGCATCTGGGATTTGGGGGTTCTCAGTACAGACACAGCAGAGCCCCTGATGCAAACTCCAGTTTGGTCTGGGCTCCCTGCAGATGGAACCAAGGGAGGTTTGCTTGGCGAGTGTGCAGAACCCAGCCGGAGCGCTGAAACAGGCAGGCACCCCGGCCCTTGGGGCCTGAGTGTCTTCCAGCGCCTTGGGGGCCGCACCTTGGCTTCTGCGAGGGAGGCTTTATCTTGCATCCAAGTACCTGGGACCAAGTGTGGCCTCTCCTGATGGATTTCCGGCTCTGGCTTCCAGCACGCCTGCCCTTGGCTACAGTGGGCGTTTGGAGAGTAAGCCAGCGGATGGAGCGTATCGGTCTTTCTGTGGCTCTGCCTTTCAAATAAAGACAATAAATTAAATAAAAGCAGCAACAGCAGCGGCAGCCTGCAGGCTTACCCTGTGGGAACCAGTGTGAGCACAGCCAGGTCCAAACCATGACTTGGCAAATGGGCAGTTAACAGGGATGCTCTCGGCGCGGAGTTAGCCCTGCCTGGTCTGCAGGCCAGTGGGAGCAGCAGGCACACCTGGTGCTGAGTCTGATGTGGGCGTACGCATCTGACTGGACCTGGACCACTGTGACAGTGGCAGGACAGCATGAACGTGAGTGACTTGGGGACCAAGCCGTGCATTTGACAGTGGTGAGATGAGAAGTGGCCACAATCATAAAATAAATAAATAAATGCAGTATATCAGGAACTAGCCTGCTGCCCCGCTCAGTTCCTCGGGTTGACCACGGGCTCCGCTCTGACCTAGCCACAGGGATTGCATTGGGCAAGAGGACGCTGGACCGGGGGCGCCCAGGCTGCGCTCCATCGTAGAGGGGCTCTCCTGTAGGGTCTGGCCCCTGGGTCTCTGAGCAGGCCAACTGCTGTCCTTGGGCTGGCAGTCCTCATCTGATGTCCGTGTTCATTAGGAAAGTGAAATAGAGTTTTCTAGAAGCTACCTTTGAGCATGACTCAAGGCCATTGAGAGTTGATACACTCCAAGATGGTGCTCAAGAAGCAGGAAGGCCTCCCCAGAGCCCAAGAGGCGCTCCCAGCCAGGCTGATGCCCAGCCTGGAGCTCGTGGTGTGCAGCTGTGGACGGCCACCCACTCCTGTTGGGCCACCTGCTTGTGTCGGAGTGTGCTTCCCCTGGTCCCTGCGATCACCGGCCACCTGCCCCCAGCATGGTAGGCCTGAGGCTGAGCAAGCTACGCGGCTAGGCTGTGATGGCTCGGGGGCAGCCAGGGACCAGAGCCTGTCCTACTTGGTCTTTCTCAGTCCAAAGGTGTGGGTTTGCTTTGATTTCACTTTTACCTATTAGCCAATGAACGAAGGCTTTAGTTTTAAATTGAAAGAAAACACTGCTGGGTTAAATAAAACTCCTTCACAGTGCTTGTAGTAAAGCCATGAAACAGACAAGAAAAAAGAATGAGTGGGCCTGGTATAGTGGTGCAGTGGGTTAAGCTTCAGCCTATGACACCGGCACCTGCTGTGAGCACTGGTTCGAGTCCTGGTTACTTCACTTCAGATCTGGCTCCTTTCTAACGTGCCTGGGAAAGCAGTGTAGGATAGTCCAAGTGCTTGGGTCGCTGCACCCACATGGGATGCCCAGATCTGGCTCCCGACTCCTGGCCCAGACCTCCCTTTGCAATCAAGGAGTGAACCACTGGGTGGAAGATCTCTTTCTGTCCCTCTCCCTTAAAACTCTGCCTTCTAAGATACATCTTTAAAAAGCAGAATGAGAAAATAAAACATTGTTGGGTGGTGCCTGGGGGAACATGAGCATCCACTGAGAGGTCATTTGTAACAGGAGGATGACTAAGCAGCTAAGAGCACAATGGCCACAGCAGGACCCAGGCAGCTCTTCTGTTCCCTTCTGACCCAGCGTCCCCGTGTCTTCTCTCTTGTCCCGTTTGTCCTTTCAGGTCCCGGGTCGGTGTCACCTCTTCCACGCAGCCTTCCAGGATGCCTCAGCCTGGAGTGCTGGCTTCCTTTCTGCTTGCCTTTTGTGTGTGCTTGTCTCTCAACACCACGACTGTTTTGTAACCTGTTTAGCTGTTTTATTGAGCAGCACAGTGACCTTGGAAGTCAGAGTGAGAGAGGGGGTCTCCCATCCGCTGGCACACACACACACACACACACACACACACACACACGGCCACAGCAGCCACGGAGGGCCAGAAATTCCATCTGGGTCTTGCCGTGACGAGCCCGGGCAGTCCACAGTGCAGCATCCCGTGGACATTTGCTGAATCTTGACCCCGTGCATGTGTGCGATGTCTTGGTGCAGTTCCGGGGTGCCTTCTGGGGAGCTGAGTGACCACCCCCTCACCATAGTTGCAGAGTGCTAGGCTTGGGGTTTGCTCCTTTTCTTTCCATCTCTTTGGGGGCTGTGGACAAGAAAGGGTCAAGGATGAGGGAAGGCACCCTTCTTCCTTCTTTGTGTAAACTGAGGTAGGAGTTGTGAGTAACTCCCAAGTCCCCACATAAATGAAAATTATTAACTTTGCTACTCCAGAAAAAAAAAATTTAATCCCAAAGTCATTTATTTTGGCTTTAGAATAGACTAACGTCTGTACCGGATTTTGCTGCCTAATTACTTTCTGCTTAAGCTTTTTAAAAATTGTTTTAAATTCCTTTAGTGTGACAGCCTGGGGAAGTGGGGGGTGGAGGAACGGATCCCAGCCAGGATGGGGTGGGGTGGCAGCTCTCCGCCTTCACAGCCTCGTGCAGCTCCCAGGAGAGCCGCCGACGGTGTTCAACAGAGTCCGAAAGGCACTTACTCTTTGATCCAGTAATTCCCCTCCTTGGAGCTTGTCCTGAAGAAATGCCGAAGCTTGGGGGGCAGAGCTGCTGGCCCACCTTCGTGGCAGCTATAGGGCGAGAACCTGCCCGGAAGCAGGGTGGGGGTGGGAAGAGTGAGCCAGAGGTCACAAAGAACCTGCTGTCCACCTGCGGGCAAAGCTGGAACTCTCCCATCTCAGGCCTTCCCAGGCGTGTGAGTGCTCGCAGCCATAGGTGCCATCTGAACCAGTTCCCAGAGGGGTGGACAGCCGCCTGATGGGCAGGCAGGTGCCTGACATGGCTGGGTGGGGAGGCACAGGCGATTCTGTATATGTTGTATCTCCTGCTGGAGCATGTACCACTTTGTCATTAGTGAGAGTAGCTGTGGGCCCAGTGTGATGGTCTAGTGGCTAAAGTCCTCGCCTTGAATGCATCGGGATCCCATATGGGCGCCAGGTCTAATCCCGGCAGCCCCACTTCCCATCCAGTTCCCTGTTTGTGGCCTGGGAAAGCAGTGGAGGACGGCCCAAAGCCTTGGGACCCTGCACCCATGTGGGAGACCTGAAAGATCTCCTGGCTTCAGATCGGCGGAACACCGGCCGTTGTGGTCACTTGGGGAGTGAACCATTGGACGGAAGATCTTCCTCTCTGTTTCTTCTCCTCTCTATATATATATCTGATTTTGCAATTAAGAAAATCTTTTTAAAAATTGAAGAAAGAAAGTAGCTGTGATTTTGTACAAGAAGGAATGTTGGCTCCATGGGTGACAAGGGCCAGGGTCGCTGCTTGCGGCGTGGGTCTCGTCCACTAACTGTGACCACCCCTGGTGAACGCATGTGCCACGCAGCAGGTCACATGGGGCGCTTCTTCCTGTGCCAAGCCACGTAGGCCATGAGGCCCTCGGTGAGCTCTGTGAATTTGAAAAGCTTTGTGAGACTCCTGGAACATTTTAAATCATTCTTGATCTAATTGTCCTCATTTGCCTCAACTCAGAGTCCCAAGTCTGGAGATCTGAACGGGGAACGAGGGAGGGTCAGCTGTCCCCTGCAGGGTCCCCCATGGCTCGGCGCCTGCGGTGGACACCCCGACCTCAGACCCCCTACTCTTGTTCATGTGCAGGCCCTGCACTCCATGCATACCCCATTTACCGTCCCCAAAGTTCCAGGATATCAAATGGTTGGCACCCAAGGGCAACAGGGAGGCCTTTGTGAATGACCTGGGCATCGGGAGCATTGATGGTGCCTTGCATTGGTTTCCCAAGTCCCAAGCACTGACCCCAGCGAGCTTTATGCAATGGAGAAAGCAGACAGGATGCTGCCAGTGGCCGTCAAAGCAGGTGGCAGGGCTGGGGTGGGGTTTCCTCAGGGAGCAGAGAGGGCCCCCACCCCCTCCAGGGCAGCTGTGGTCCCCCTGCACATGTCACCTTCTCTCTTTTCTCTGACAGTTCCCCTATGCTGCGCCCCCTCCCCAAGAACCCGTGAAAACACTGAGAAGCCTCATCAACATCCGCAAGGACACGCTGAGGCTCGTCAGGTGAGGCCGGAGCCTCCCCCGCCGCGTGGGAGCAGCAGCCCCATTCTGCTCAGGGGAGTCCCACCCAGGGCCCGTTGTTCCCAGCAGGCGGCTGTGGCCAGGACTGGCACCAGGGCCTGGCACCGGGGCCCCCTCCACTCCGTGGGAGAAGCAGCCCCCAGTCTGCTCAGGGGAGTCCCACTCAGGGCCCAGTTGTTCCTAGCAGGTGGCCGAGACCAGGCCCAGGGCCTCACGCCCCGTGGGAGCAGCAGCTCTGGATCTGCTCAGGGGATGCTCGGAGCTTGGTGCATCTGGAGAAGGGAAGGATTATTGAGGAAAGCCCGTGTGAACGGGAGCTGTGTGAGCTTGGGATACGAGTACTTGCTCTGTGCCTGTGTCCTTCACTCCTCACCACACGCGCCTCTGAAGATGGACAGAGAGCACCTTGGCTAACAGCTCAGACCTCTCCTCGAGGTTGGCTGCCTTTGTGGTGGGGGATGACCTGGAGACCACTGTCATTCCAGGGGGGGGTGGTCAGAAGACCCTGACTTCTCTGCGTGGACGAGGAGGGTGGCTGGGCAGCTCTTCTGTGTGTCAGCAAGCTGACTTTACTGGGATCAGCGCTGTAACTCCCCCACCCTCCTGTCACAGGCGCACAGGTCAGTGGTGTCAGACACGTGGACAGAGTTGTCCAGCTTTAGAAAGTTCTAGCTCTCCAGAGAAGCCGCAGGCCATCGGCAGCCCTCCTCTCCAGCCTGAAGGGATCATGGCTCTGATATCTCTTTCAATTTTTGACATTTTATTTGTCCTGGAAATCCTCCTGTTTCCCAGCTCTGTTTCTCCCCACCCCTGGTCAGAGGATGAGGCAGCCAAGGAGAGTGCTGCAGGAGAGCCACCCCTGGGGCCCCTAGTGGCAGGGTGGCCAGCGCCCATGCCTCCACCCTGTGGACTGTCTCGCGCCAGTGGCCCAAGCACACGTGTGATGGGCCAGAGTCGAGGTGAGGTCCCGCCTCCAACCTACATGCCACTCTGGAGAAACAAAGTCCTCCAGACCCTGCCATGCGTGCCGAATTCTAGAACTCCAGCTTCTTAGACAAGAGTTCGCAGCCAGAGACTCATGATACAAAAGACTGTGCCAGAGCAAGTCAACAAGAGAGACAGCGAGTCACTGGGAACAGGACCATAGGAAGAAAACTGGTCAATAACTCAGGACACGTTTATGTCACAGACACAGTGCCACACAGTGATTAAGAGCTAGAACCAGCTGCTGGGAAAATGGGAGGAGGAGTTGGAATATCAGGAGGAACAGAAAGGCAGGGCAAGGGGCGCCTTGGTCACAGGGCACCATGTCGCAGGTGCAGCCTGCAGGGTCCCAGAAGGACGGAGGGCTCGGCCAGAGGGGAGTCTCTAAGTGGGGAGCTCCAGTGTCTCCAGTGAGAACTGCGATCTTGAGTCTGAGGTCAGCCATTCTGTCAGGTGTGAGTCACAGCCTGCCCCAGGGAGCCCCTGCAGGGCTGCGGGGGCAGCTCTCCCTCCCCCCCCCAGTGATGGGGGAGGCCCAGGGATCCTCAGGAAACCGTGGGTGCACCTTCAGAGTCCCGCCGTCCTGAGTCAGCCGACACCAGGCTTCGTGGGACTCCGTAAGGGCAGCGCGTGGAAGGCTAAGAGAAGCCCAAGGAAAAATGCCTGCAGGGAGAGAAAACTCGCAGGTCTCCTGGTACCCAACCCCCGCCCCAACTATCGGATGAATGCTGTATGTGAATTAACCAGATGCCAGAGTACAGGGCTAAGGATGCTGTGATGCAGCTCACTGTGGGGAGGGGGCAGGTGGCACAGGAGGAAGCTCTCCTCCCACAGTGGGGAGGCAGCAGTACCTCGGAGGGGTTAGAGTGAGTGCCCGCATGCCCAGGGGAGAAGCCAGGCCTGCTGTGCCCTCTGACATGGAAGGATGTGCAGTTCACAACTTTGATTCAAATAAACATTCAACCTGGCAAATCTCCCACCCAGGTATCATGGAGACAGAGTGCTCCGTGGTGACTGCAGGCGGTCATGGTCATGGGCACGGAGGAACCAGTAGGAAGTCATGATGTGATTAGGAGAGAATGAGCGAGCTCGGGCACCAGTGCTCCGCCCCCGGTGCTGAATCTGTCACCTCCGGCCATCTAGGTGTGCAGAAGAGGTAAAGAGCCCCGGAGACGAGGCCAGCAAGCCCAAGGTCCACTACAACGTCGAGTTCACCTTCGACACAGACGCCCGGGTGGCCATCACCATCTATTACCAGGCCACCGAGGAGTTCCAGAGCGGCATTGCCAGGTGAGAGTGAAGGCCATGTAAGCTGCTCCCCTGGGGGAAGGGCAGGGCCAGGGCCAAGGCAGGTGCCCTCACCTGGTGCCACCTGAGCCCATGCCAGCCACACCTCCTGGTGCAGAGTCCCACAGCAGTACTGCTTTTGGGTTGTCCCGCTGCCCTTGTGCGCATGTGGATGAGTTTGCCATCATTCCCTGGCTGGAGCAAGGGCAGTAGAACAGGCGGCCTGCCTCTGCAATGCTGGAGCCTGCCGGTAGCAGAGCAGGCACGAGGCGAGTGGACAGAAGCCCCTGTCCCTCTGGGCCTGGTGCCATCCTCCGCCTCTCCGTCCCCTTCCCCACCACCCTGTCCTCCTCCCTACGTGTCGCAACAGCTACATCCCCAAAGACAGCAGCCTGCAGTCAGAGACGGTGCACTACAAGCGGGGTGTGTGCCAGCAGTTCTGCCTGCCCTCCCACACTGTGGACCCCTCCGAGTGGGCCGAGGAGGAGGTGAGCCGTCCCCGTGGAGACCCCTCATGTAGACCCAGGACTGGGAAGCCCCAAGGGATGCGGCTGGCGGCAGGAACTGTCTGGGCCTTGCTCACCAACCCACCCTCCAACCTCCTGCCCCTGAAAGTTGTTCCTATTTCCCATCACGGATAGGCCTAGCCTAGTTCACATTTCCATTTACCTTGGATACTTTGAGACAAATTTAAAGCAAAGAACTCACAGGTTAAAGGGCTTTATGTCTGTGAGGTTTCAGCTCTGGGTCTCTGCCAGGTGGCTGAGTGAGGTGCAAGGTGGAGGCTCACACTTGCCCCCCACCTCACCTCACCTCACTTGCTGCTGCGCCCCTCGTGGTGCTGTCTCCAGGTGCTAAGCCCTGCTCCTTCCCTGCAGCTCGGCTTCGACCTGGACCGCGAGGTTTACCCATTAGTGGTGCACGCCGTGGTGGATGAAGGAGATGGTAAGCTTTCTTTGCTTGGCATCTGTGCTTCAGTGCCTCCCAATCATGACTCCCCCCACAAACTCCCCTTGTGGCCTCCTGTGCTGAGGGCTGGCTTCAGGGCTACGACTGCTGTGCTGCACAGACCAGATGGCAGGGCAGTGGGCTCCTGTGCCAAGGGTCAGGCTACAAGGTAACGACCACTGTCCTGCACTGGCCAGAGAGCAGGGTACTGGGAGGGCAGCGGGCCCTGACGGTGAAGTGCTCAGGCCTGCTTTACTGTGTGCTTTGTTTGTTTCAGAGTACTTTGGCCATTGCCATGTATTGCTGGGTACTTTTGAAAAGGTAAGCGATGCCACTGGACCCTGCTCTGGCCCTTTGCTCACGCGCAGCTCTGATCACCTTTGTCTGCTGGCTCCCTGGGCTCAGCAGGGCAGAGCTGGCACCAGGCCTCATCATGCAGAGCAATACTTGGGTTCCCTTGGGTCTACACGACCTTCAGCTCCTGAGGCCTCCGCCTGCCTCCTCCTACAATGAGATGTGGACAGAGCAGGGTGCGTGTTGTGCACTGTGGTTGACACTGCCTAGAGATGCGTGCCTCGGGTCAGAGTGCTTGGTCCTTGTCCCAGCTGCTCTGCTTCCCATGTGGCTTCCTGCTAATGTGCAGTCCAGGCCCAGAAGGTGGTGGTGGCCAAGTGACTAGTCCCTTGTCAACCACGTGGGAGAACCAGATTTGAGATCCAAGTGCCTGACTTGAGACTGGCTCAGCCCTGGCCATTGTATGCGTTTGGGGAATGAGCTAGCAAGTGGAATGAAAGATCTCTCTCTGTCCTCTCTTTGCTTCTCTGTCAAACACAAAATGAAAATAAATACAGAGAGAAGATCTGTCTCTCTCTTTTTCTGTCTTTCAAATAACTAATAAAAACAATAGCAGGGCATTGCCTAGTGTAACAGGGATTTCTCAAGAGCAAAGCAGTTGTCAGCCTGGACCGTTGTAAGGCATTCAGGGCTGATCCCACCACGTGAGCGTCCGAGGGGACAGAGGCACCCCTGCATCTGTAACCGCTGCTGCTTTCATTTCAGCACACAGATGGAACGTTCTGTGTGAAGCCCCTCAAACAGAAACAAGTGGTAAGTACCAGGGGCACTCCGGGCCACCCCACATTCTCTTCTCCGGCAAGCAGGCAGTGGTTGTGTGTGTGTGTCAGACACAGGCTGGATGGCCAGGTTTGTGATGTTGGTGATGCTCCTGAGTTGCCAAGGCCAGGACTGAGACGTGGGACCAGACCCATTGCCTGAACTGAGGTGCGGTGCAGGGAGGGGGTCTCCTCAGTAAAAATGCCAGGGCAAGAACACTTCAAGTCTGATGCAGGATTAACTGAGGGTCATGGCTGGGCACGTCCTCCACTCCCTTTCCTTTACTAAAATGCAAAATATGCTGGCTTCTGCCCCCTTCCAGACCATCAGCAAGGTCCTCCCTGGGCAGCCAGGCCTTGGTTATGCCGACCCCAAGGTGCTCCCTGGGCAGCCAGGCCTTGGTGATCCCGACCCCCAGGTGCTCCCTGGGCAGCCAGGCCTTGGTGATCCCGACCCCAAGGTGCTCCCTGGGCAGCCAGGCCTTGGTGATCCTGACCCCAAGGTGCTCCCTGGGCAGCCAGGCCTTTGGCAAGCTGCCTCCTGGGGAAGAAGGCCGGACAGGGTGAAAGCTGGAGTCTGTTGGTCAGCTCTCTGCTACCACAGCCAAGTACCCAAGGCAGCCTAACTTACAAAAACAACCCCATGTTGGGACTCACAGTTCTGGAAGGAGCCCACCCAGCTGGGCTGTGTGAGATATACCCAATGGGTGTATCTCAGCCTGCCTCTGCCAGGATTCAGTCTTGGGGGGCCCACCCTAGCTAGCCAGTCCAGTCACCTCAATTCCCAACAGCCCTTCCCGCAATCTGTCAACATTGCATTAACTTTCCCAGAAGGCTTGGGGACTGAACTCTTGCGTCCGTGAGAACGTCAGGCTTTGCGATGCTCCTGAGGCCGACCTGAGCCCAGCAGCCAGCCAGCCTGTGGGACTTGAGGAGCCCAGGGAAGCAGGCATGGCCCAGGCGGGCTGGGGCTGGGCGTTTCAGCCAGGACTTCGTGAGTGAGGGCTCACGGTGCCTTTTCTCAGCCAACCCTTTCCTGATTGTTGCTGGCAAGGCCGGTGCAGCTGCTGTATCCGTGAGGCATCCGTGAGGCACACCGTGGGTGACCTGTGGGTGAACTAGACACCTCCAGGAGGAAGCCTCTGTAAACACAGGCATCCTTTGCCCATCTGGCCTTTGATTTTGCCTGTGGTGAATCAGCCCTGGGCAGGGGCAGCTCTCTGCCTGTCCTTGACCCTGACCCTTGTCTGCCCCTAGGTAGACGGGGTCAGCTACCTCCTCCAGGAGATCTATGGGATTGAGAACAAGTACAACACTCAGGATTCCAAGGTATGCGCTCCCCACAGGCGCCTCCCAGGTGGCAGAGGGAGAGCGTCTCCCAGGAAGCCGGGATCCATGAATCTGAGGCCAAGTTCTGGAATCTCTGGAGGGTATTTTCTGTGCTTCATTCCCAATGGTTACAATACCCTGGAGGTGGCAGAGGTTGTGGGTGGGTTTGTCCTGGGGCCTCTCAGTTCTGCGCCCTTCCGGGGTGGAGGAGATGTTACCATTTTACCTCCACCTCTGCTCTCCCAGGTGCCTCAGCTAAATGTCAGAGACCCAGCTGTGAGCCAGGGCTGTCGCCCTTCAGTGACCAGCTCCCAGGGTCGCTCCCAGGGTCGCTCCCAGGGTCGCTCTGGATGGCCTGAGGGCAAGGATGCCCTGGGAGCCTGGGTACCTACGCAGCTCTACAGCCAGGCCACCCTGGGCATCAAGTACCGGACGCTGAAGGTTTCGTGTCTCCCCGCCAGGTGGCCGAGGACGAAGTGAGCGACAACAGTGCCGAGTGCGTGGTGTGCCTGTCGGATGTCCGGGACACCTTAATCCTGCCCTGCCGCCACCTCTGCCTGTGCAACACCTGTGCAGACACGCTGCGCTACCAGGCCAACAACTGCCCCATCTGCCGCCTGCGTACGCAAGCCTGTGCGGGGCTGGGGGGCAGAGGGGGTCGCCAGCAGACTCGGGACACCGGGTTTGCCATGAGTGCTTGTGTTGCAGCAGGGTGCCCTCACGGCCCCTCCTCTTCCTCACAGCCTTCCGGGCACTGCTTCAGATCCGAGCCATGAGAAAAAAACTGGGCCCCCTGTCCCCAGCCAGCTTCAACCCCATCATCTCAGCCCAGACATCCGACTCGGAAGAGCATTCGGTAAGCGGGACTCCCTCCCCAGCAGATGCACTGTCGTATCCCTCAAGGCTGTTTTCTCCTTTCCTTTCTCTCAACCTGATGGACGGTGGGCGGTGGGCCAGCATGGGCCAGAGCCGCCCGCTGTCACCTGATGTCCTGCTCGCTGAGACCTCCCAGTTCCTCTCTGGAAGTTGGGGAGCAGCTCATCTTTCCCAGGGCTTCAGCTCAGGGGGCTCCAGCTCAGGACTTGCTTGGACAGAGACTAGGAGAGTGTTGTTTGGGATCAGGATACAATTTCCCATTGGAGTGGGAGGCCACTTTTCCTCTGTCCCACTTCAGGACCTCTGTGGCCAGGAGCTGAGCCGGCAAAGCAGTTGACCTCATTGCATATGGTATGTGATAGGATTAGGCTGAGATCTGGGACTGGGCAAATGAACCTGCCTCTGGTAGAGTCACTCCTCGGCCAGGGACAGTGCTGTGGAAGTCAACATTGAGGGAGGAAGACTCCAGTTTGCATTTCACTCCATAGCAGCTAACAATCCATTCCAGGGAGCATAACTTTATTACAAGCATAGCAGACCAAACCACCAAACCAAACAGCAGAAACCTGCAGCACATTCCTAGAGGTTGTTGAGTTGGCTTTGGACTACTGAGGACCCTGTAAGCTTCAAGCCGTGGAAAAATACAAAAAAAAGAATTCTATAGCTATGAACACATAAAGTTTAGCACATCCGAGGTGAAAAAAGAAGCCAGAATTCACCAGCAAACCAGAAGTTTGTTCAAAGAAGAAAATGCACACGATGTGTGCGTGGCAGAGCACGGCTCTGGCTTTTGCCTCAGCTCACAAGATAAAGCAGTAAAGACAGGAAGGCATAAACAAAAAAGTCTCACAGAGGAAACGCAGCCACATTAAAATCAGGCTTATGCAAATGTGAGTAAGATGCTGTCCTCTGCCATTCAAACCTTAAAACCTTTCCTTTACGGAGATGCTGCCTGCCAGCAGGGACCCCGTCACCACAGGTGTTCGTTCCGTGGTACCTGTAGGAAGTGACCAGAAGGGGCGGGCAGCATCAGCGGGGTCTCGGAGTCCACATGGGCAAAGACTTAGGGACAGAGCCGTTTGTTGAAGGCCAAGTGCTGCAGTGCAGCAGGCTGAACTGCTGCTCAGGGTGCTGGCGCCTACCCCGGAGTCCACTTTCTGCTGCTGAGCGCCCCAGGAGGCAGCAGGTGATGGCTCACCCCCGCATCCATCCACGTGGGACGCAAGTGATTCCAGGCTCCTGCCTGCGGCTTGGCCCAGCTCTGGCTACTGCCAGCATCTAGGATAAAATCTGCACTCTCTGTTCTCTACCTTTCAAATGAATGTAAGTACATGATTGCACTTAAAAAAACTGTTCATCAAGACGTGTTTCCAGGAAACTGTCAGACACAGCTCAACAGCCAGCACCCATGGTGTACCAGGGGCCTGGGGTGTCCCTGGAAAGGAGGTCACAGGAAGAAGTTCAGAAAGGTTTACGTTCAGTGAAGTAAGCCATTAGAAAAGTGTCACTTCTAGGGGTCAGCGTTGTGGCAGCCATTGTGTGAACGGCAGCATCCTGTTCCGTACGCCAGTTGGAGTTCTGACAGTTTTGCTTCTGTCCAACTCCCTGCTGATGTGCCTGGGAGAGCAGCAGAAGATGGCCCAAGTACTTGGGCCCCTGCCACTCATGTGGGCAGCCCAGATGGAAAAAGGAAGATTTATATATTTATGTGTTTGACCCTAACAGCCAGGACTAGAGCAGACTGAAGTCACGTGCTTCCTTCCAGGTCTGCCCTGTAGGTGCAGGGCCCGGGCACTGGGCTGCTTTTCCCAGGCCGTTAGCAAGCAGCCAGATCAGAAGTGGGAGGTTGGTACTGCAGGTTGTCGGCCTTACCTGCTGAACCACAGTGCCAGTCCCCTGCGTCTGGCTCTGGCCTGGCCCAGCTGCAGCCGTAGCAGCCATTTGGGGAATGGACCAGCAGATGGCAGACCTCTCTTTGTGCCTCCCTCTGTGTCACTCTGCCTTCCAAATAAATGTTTTGTTGTTTGTTTGTTTGTTTGTTTTCAATAATTTTTTCATACCATGTGAACAGTATAGAGAAGTGCTGGTAGAGGATACCCTGGAAGGCCAGCACAAGTGCCTTCAAGCAATGGGAGCTGGGTTTGCTTCCCCTTACAGCTGCTTCAAGTGTTTTCCAAATTTCCCATCATGAATATCTTTATTATGATCAAAAGAGCTCAGCCATGGTTGAGACCAAGTTCGCCTTTAGGCCGTGTCCAGGCTCCCTGGCACTTTTCCTTCCTGTGTCTCTGGTTATAAAAACTCTTCCCACCAGATCCCTTCCCAAATATAAAAGGAAATGTAGTAACTGCAGAGCCAGAAGTGCCCACCTCACTCTGCACTGTCTTCTGGCTCCCCCAGTCCTCCGAGCACATCCCGCCAGGCTACGAAGTGGTGTCCCTTCTGGAGGCGCTCAACGGGCCCCTCACCCCGTCACCAGCCGTGGCCCCACTGCACGTGCTTGGAGATGGCCACCTCTCAGGCATGCTGCCCTCCTATGGCAGCGATGGCCACCTGCCCCCTGTCAGGACGCTGGCCCCCCTCGACCGCCTGTCTGACGGCAGCAGTCAAGCCCTCAAGCTCAAGAGGAGTCTGTCCAAGTGAGTCGCTGGCGCCTGGCAGAGCTACCCTGGGGCCCTCGATGCTCCTCAGGGTCTCACACACCCTGGGGTCCTGGGGCCCCCCACCAGCATGGGGAGACCCTCGGCACTATTGCAGAGCTGCCTCAGCTCACAGAGATCTAAGGGGAACCTGGGGTGGGGTGGCAGAGACCAGAGCAGGTGGACAGTAGGTACCTAGGAGATTCAGAGGGGCGCAGTGACTGGGACAGGACCACCCAGTCCCCAGGGGCTCTGGGAGCTTCCTGCTCTCTAACAAGGCCTGGGTCATGATGAGCTGTCTGCGGCCAACTGAAGGAAGGTGTTTTACTGATAGCAGCACAGGGCCACGAAAGTGTCCGGGGGTGTCCCCGAGCTCAGGCCTGAATCACAGCAGGACCCGGGCAAGGCCTAGCCTTGCTGACCCCAGGAGGGGCCCTGTCCCCTCGTGACGTGGTCTCAGGGTTCAGGTTTCTTGTTCAGTTCCTTCAAAGGCCGCGCGTCCCAGGAAGTGTGCCGCAGCAGAGCCCAGGGAGGTGCATGCTGTACACAGAAGCTGGGTGCAGCTGTGTCCCCTGTGCACGGACAGATCCGTCTCCCAGAATTCCTCTGTGCTGCATGAGGAGGAAGACGAGCGCTCCTGCAGCGAGTCGGAGACACAGCTCTCGCCAAGACCCTCGGCGCCATACCTGCGAGAGGTGATTTGCCCTCTTTCCCCTGCCTGGCTGCCGGCCCCCTGGTCTACCCTGCTGCCCGCCTGCCGCTCCGTCTCTGTCCACTCCCACACCTTCACCTGGCACCTGCAGAGCCCACAGAGGCATGTTCCCCGCACGCCTGTCCTCTGTGATGCAGACAGGGCACGAGGGACTGTGCTCTGGCTGGTTGAGTGGGTTGGGTGGACACCCCCGAAAAGCAAATGAGAGCAAACTGCCCGGGGGCCTGAGGAAGCACAGGTGTGGTCGATGGAGGAAGACTGGAACGTTTTACCCTGCGCATCCCCACAGCCGTCTGTCATCCCCTGTTCTGGCAGGGAGCTGGACTGGGCACACGTGGACGTGACTGAATGGTCCCAGTGATCAGGGGCTTAGCCCTCAGTGGGCAGCCCCATGCATGGCCTCTTGCCATGGACCTGTGCCTGTCTGGTCTGATGAGCACAGGAAGGACCGATGGGGCTTAACTAGGACACAGAGGGCTGCAGTGGAAATACTGACCGCCCCAGGGCGCAGGGGAGTCAGACCATGCCCTAAAGGGGCAGCCCTTGGGCCAGGTCTTGCAACATTTGAGTTAGAAGAGGACAGAGGGAAAAGGGTACAGGTAGAGGGTGGGGAGTGGCCAGGGCTAATGTCAGGGTGCCCCTGAGAGGCAGGTGTGTGGCTGGGTCAGCCAGGAAAGGTGAGAGGAAATGCCTGGACCAAGACAGAAGTGGGTGAGGAGTCCAGGAGCAGTCCGCAGGGTCGGAGCACAGCCACGCCTCTGCCCAGGGACTGACGGCTGGCTGGGTGCACTGGGATTAGGTGGGTGTGCATGGGAGCAGGAGGCAGGTCCACAGGGAGGCCCCTGCTGTGCTTGTCTTGGTTTCCTTCTGAGTGAAAGCTGTTTGTCATCCTGGGGACGCCTGGGGTGTCCCCGTGTCCCAGCTGCTGAGCGACCTGTGTCACCTGAGCCACCTGAGCCTTGGTCTTTGTCTGGCCCCAGCAGCTGCCATGCCTCAGGCTGGAGGCGCTGAGTGAAGCTTGCCTCTCCCCCAGTGGCAGGCACGCAGGCCCCACAGGGCTGGAGCCAGTGCCTGAGGACGGGCTCTTGTCCCTCCCAGCGAGCTGACAGGTGCTTCCTCCCTGTGCCCTGTGTGCCCTCCAGCCCCAGGAATGTGGCATGACCCCAGAAAGTGAGAATCTCACACTTTCGTCCTCGGGAGCCATTGACCAGTCGTCCTGCACAGGGACACCGCTCTCTTCCACCATTTCCTCCCCGGAAGGTATATGAGGGATGGGAACGTGCATGTCACAACCTCGCAGCGCCCCCGAGATGCCCATGGGGCAGGGGGCACTGCCATCCTCCTGGGAGCTGGGCAGACTGGTCCTTCAGTTCCAGTCCCGCCCCCATGAGGTTCTGTTAGTTGTGACTGAGAACAGAAAACCCCTGGAGTCCGAGGCCGAATTCTAGCTTCTCAGGTCTGAAAGAGCAGGCTCTTGGGATCCTTGGGCAGAGTGGTGCTGAGCTGAGCCTGCTGCACTGCGTTGCCTTGGTACCGGGTATGCTGCCTGACCACGTCTGCTTCTCCAAAGATCCCGCCAGCAGCAGCCTCGCCCAGTCAGTCATGTCCATGGCATCCTCCCAGATCAGCACGGATACGGTCTCCTCCATGTCCGGCTCCTACATTGCCCCTGGCACAGAAGAGGAGGGAGAGGCAGCCCCATCCCCACGGACTGCCAGCAGGGCCCCGTCGGACGAAGGAGAGGTAAGGAAGGAACTTCGACTCAGGCTGGCTTCCCTGGACCTCATTTGGTTGCATGTCTGAAGTAGGTTAGGAAAACACGACTGTGGGTGCTGCGGAGCCCCCGCTGCTCCTCAGGAGAGCTGAGGGCCTGGTCTCCCCCGCAGTGGCACTTTCTGGAATTGAGCCTGTGCCGAAGAAGATTGAGGTTAGGGTTTGTCACCAAGAGCTTGATGGAGCCTATGCAGTGCAGCTGTGGTGACTGCCCGAGAACAGCTGTGCTCCTGTGGTGACTGCTGAGACCAGCTGTGCTCCTGTGGGGACTGCTGAGACCAGCTGTGCTCCTGTGGGGACTGCCCGAGAACAGCTGTGCTCCTGTGGGGACTGCCCGAGAACAGCTGTGCTCCTGTGGTAACTGCTGAGAACAGCTGTGCTCCTGTGGTGACTGTGCCCTTGGGCTTTGGCACTCTTTTGCAGGGGCTACCAGCAGAGTCTCCAGAGAGCAGCTTTGCCGGCCTCCCAGGAGGAGAGCAAGATGCAGAGGTGACTGACACAGCACACACCTCTGCCACCACTAGAGGACCTTGCCAGTGTTGGCTGGGGATGCCCATAGCGGCAGGGGAGGTGGTGCTGCAGATGTCTTCCGGGATCAGTGGATCAGGCTGTGGGTAGAACACGGGGAGCCACACTCTGGCTGTGGACTGTCCACCGTGCAGGACACGAGTCAGGGTGATCTGTCTGGGTGTGATGAGGCCAGGAGGGAACTTTCTGTGCCAGACCAGCCCTTGAGTGATACCCATGGGTCACCAGTGAGCACCGAGGCTGCGAAGGGGCCACAGGTGCCCCTGGCCCTGGACACAGTCAGGCCTGAGGTGTGGCTCCCTGCAGTCCTCCAGGGGCCCTGTGCAGGGGCAGGCAGGGTCTCGGGCTGCAGATGGGGATGCTGGTGCTCCGGACCCCACTGGGTCATGGCAGACTCGCTCATGCTGCTTTACAGACTCGCACACTCTCCTGTGTCCTAGGGAAACGACGTCATGGAGGAAGAGGACAACTCGCCTGTGCAGGAAGATGGTAAAAGATCCCCGAGCTTGTTTCTTTCAGGGCAGCGAGGGGCTGGAGGGGACAGCAGTGGAAGTGACCCTGCTGCTCTCACTCCTGGCCAGCAGTGTCAGAGTGTGGATGGTGCTGAGGGGACCAACCTTACACTGTCTGCCACTTGCTGGGGTCCTCACCCATCTCCCACAGCATGCCTCAGCAGCGCCCAGCACTCTGCCTTGTGTGTTGGTTTAGAGAGGAAGTGGCTGGAAGGGAGGAGCCTCGGAAGCCAGGGTGCAGGACTCCCCCGTGGCTTGGCCACCCTTCTCCATGATTCAGGCCCTGGTTCCGGATTCCGCCAGAGGCATGTTGTGTCCTATCAGGCTAGAAGAGGAGGAGGGCCCACAGAGCGAAGGAACAGGAGGAAGAGAGGGCTGCAGAAGCAGCACATGGGAGGTGGACCTGCAGCCCCCGGAGCCAGACTCCCACTGTTCTGCACGAACACCAGGCCTGGGCCCTGACCCGCCCACCAATGCTATCCTGGTGGTTTCTGGCTGTGGCTTAGGGAGGGCCAGGAGTGTGTGTGTGGCTCGTGCCTGCTGGAGGTGTCTAAAGAAAAGGGCAGCCCCAGGGCCTGGGGTGTCGCCCAGCACGGCTGACAGCAGAGCCCAAGGCTCCAGAGGTGCCCATGCCGATGGATCCTGATGGTTTGCTTCCAGGAAGCACAGGCAGCCGCTGGGATACATACACTTGACTTCCATGACTGGCTCCCTCATCCGTCTTCCACCAAGGACCAAAGCCACGTCCAGACTGACCCCCTGCCCTCTAAAGTGTCTGCAGGTTTCTGGGCCACTTAAAACTCACTCCAAGTAGTAACTCAGAACTCCTAAGAAAGTCACGATTTTCTGGATATGGTCATTCTGATGTGATACACAAAATTGTGGCTCCCAGGGCTGTCTGTTTGTCACCCCACAGAGCCCTGTAGTCACACTGTATCAGCCCCATCCCCAGACCGTGGCAGGTACGGGCAGTGGCAGTCCCGGCTCTCCAGCATCTGCTGGCCTCAGGGCCAGTGCCCCCTGGCATGGCCTTGGGCAGCCTGTGTGCAAAGCCCTCCCTCCACAGCAGTTAGCCTGGTTAGGAGGCAGCGGCTCTGCAAGGCCAGGGCAGGACAGCAGAACCCCACCCAGGCACCCCTGTTGCTGGAGTCCAGCTCCAGCTGAGTTCAGAACTCGCGAAAGGTGCGTGGATGAGGCGCAAAGAGGAAAGAAAGACGGACCACTAGGATTTCATGATCATAATGGACAATGCACGGAAGCTGTCCACTTTATTTATACAAAATCAGTCAAACTCTGCCTCAGACTTTTTACGTCATGGTCAAGTGGGTGTTTCTAAGGATAATTCTGCCATTTGTTTTACCTAAAAACAATAGAAGTTCCTGCTACAATTCTTACCCTACAACTCAATCTTGTATCACAAAGAAAAGGGAACCTAAAGATCAAGGAAAGAGTGAAAGCCTAAATATAGGTCCCTTGATTAGCATAACGTCCATGGGGACAGCCAAGACAGTAGGAATAATAGAGGCCCTTTTGCAAGACGTTATTATTGACATTAAGCTCCAAGCTCACATTGAGTAAAAATCCAACTCCACAGTAGCAAACAATGCCTGAATGGATTAGAGTTCTTCCATAGGGTGGTCCAGTGTCCATGCCAAGGAAGGTGGAGCTGCATTCAGGTGGTTGTAGAGACTCCGCAGGGCCCTGTCATACAGTGGGAAATTCCTTGTGGCCCTGCCTGCATTGGAACAATACTCTTTGCACCTTCGTGTCCCCCCACATCCACTGCATGGACCCCAACACCCCATTTTCTTCCTTTCCTGTCTACTCTTCCCCCCTCAACACTTAATTATTGTCTTTTTTTTTTTTTACATACTATTTGATTTTTTTTTTGTCTCCATCCTTAAGATTTTTATTTTAAGGACAGCAAAGCAGAGAAAAAAAAACACACAGCCTGCCCCTCACTAACCGCCTCAACTCCGTTGCAGGCCGGAGGACGTGTGCATTTCTAGGTATGGAGTGTGACAATAACAATGACTGTGACATCGCCAGCGAGAAAGCACTGGACAATTCGCTGTGCTCTGAGGTCTGCGTACCCGGTGAGTGGCCAAATGCCGGACTCAGGCTAGGTGGGAGACAGCCCCCTGCGCGGCCCCTGTCCTGCTCACCCAGCTGTACCGTATCCTGCTGTTTGGATCTCACAAGGAGGCCCTCGGTGAGCCCAGATATGTAGACTGGAGCCCTGAGTCACTGCAGTGGACTCCTGGCCAGGAACGACCCTTACTGTGAGGGCACTGGGAGAGAGAGAAAGGAGAAAAGCTTGCACCTTGCCTTCCATGTGCTGCGGGAACTTGCCCTGCTGTCAGATGGCCTGGCTAGGGAGTAAGCAAGCGCTGTCTCCTCACTGGCCTTAGATGTTCAGACATTGGTCTCCCTGAGAGCTGAGGGTCCCATGTGGTCCCAGAGTAAGTTGTGTCAAGTGTCCTAGACACGGAGCCCAGAGTGGAGGTGACAGGCCAGGGTGATACGGCTCCCTGCGGCCTAACCCAGACCAGGCTTGCTCCTGCGGCACCTGCTCTGTCCAGGATGCTCAGCCCAGGATGATCCCGCCCTGGGGCACCCTGTCACTCCCTGGCACTTGGGCACTGCTCATGGGCCCCGGGGCCACATGTCCCCTGCTGTTCAAGTTCCCTCCATCCCCCCCACAACAGGCAGGACCCCACCCAGCAGCAGAGCAGCCACATCATGCGTGCGTCCAGTGCTTTACTCGCTCAGCGAAGGGGCTGCGGCCTCGGAACCCCGCCACCTCCCGGGGTGCCACTTGCCATCAGGCTGTGCCAGCATGGCCCTTGCATGCCTGCCGCACCCAGGCTCATGGCAAGGACACTGGCAGACATGTTGTGTGGCCTCTCCGAGGGCTCTGTGGCCAAGCCTCTGTCCTCGGCGAGGCCCAGCCTAGCTGTCTTCTCCATGGGTCCCCACCCAAGGGTGCAGGAGGGCGTGTACCCCAGAGGGCTGGCCTGTACTCTCTCCCTGCCCCCTCCTCCTCCTGCTTCTGTCTGTCTATGTTTGTTCCATGTCTTTTGCGAAATGTGAATGTCTGTCTGGTTTGTTTCTTTTTTGAACTCATGTTATCCAAACTTCGTGTGCAAGTTTATGTTCACTTTGTGCCAACCCTGGCTTTCCTGTGTCAGCTCAGCCCCACCCACGCCAGGCTTCCTGGGCACGTGCACCATGAGCGGGTTGGCCCTTGTTCCTGCTCAGACAAGGGAGGGTATATCGCCCGGTGAGGATGGGGTCTTGGCCCGCCTACCCTGTCTTGGCAGGGAGAGCTGCTGCTGGAAATGGAGCTTGTTCCTTCTGCTTCCTCCTCTTCCTGGCTCCCTTTGGGGTGTGGGTGCTTATTCCACTTCTAGGATTGGGAGAGGGAAGCAGGAATAGGAAGACAGCAGCCCTGGCGTTCCTTCTGGTGGCTTCTGGGGTCAGCTGGTTCACAGTTTAGCCAGCCACGGACATACAAACCTTGGGCGGTCATCAGAGAGGGGCTTAGTGTGCCCCGTGTCCTAGCCAGAGGTCCCAGGGTGCACCCCAAGGAGGGCAAGGCTGTCTGCCCCAGCCCTGCTGGGCACAAAACCTTGGCAGCAAAATGTGGGGCCAAAGACATGAGTGCCCACCAGGGCAGGCCTCTCCCTGGTCCCTGCTCAGCTGTCAGTGCAGTCGCCTGTCCTGCAGGTCACTGTCCTCCGCCCAGCTGTCCCCCTCCTCAAGCAGTGGCTACTGCCTTTGTGGGGGCCTCCCTGACTTGGCCTGTGTGCATGACCAGAAGCCCCAGCTGGTGGCAGCGCCCTCCGCACCACCCTCACCTTGGTCACCAGAGCTAACAGGGCACCACCCTCGGTCCCATTGCCCCAGGAAGTTCTGGGCCTTCACTGGTGCTTTCCTGCTTGTCTACCCTGGGGGATGTATGTGGAGGTTGCTTCTGCCACTTCTCAGAGGAACAGTCTAAGCTGACAGCTGAAGGTGGCAAGAGAGCCAGGGCACTGCAACTATGCCAAGTCCGTGTGGTGCTGAGTGCAAATGGCACCAGCTACAGGCCGGGGCGGGGCACATGACAGCAGAGGCACAGAAAACCGGGGTGTGAGTGGAAGCACATTTCAACAAGAGCACAACGCAGGAGCAGGCTTATCCAGAGAAGATACAAGGCAAGACCTAAGAGTCAGCTCCCTCCTCCAGATGCTGCCCCAGGGTGCACACCTTGTGGACACTGCCGGGAGCCTGCCCAGGAGCCTCAGACACCCCGAGTGGGCTTCCTGGCTTGGTCCCCGCATCCTCCCCAGACCCGCCTCTAGAGGTCTGGTTTCCGTCTATTGATTCTCTTTGTTCCAAAGGGGACCTGAGTAACGCACTAGGGTCCCTCTCCCTAGAGGGACTTTCAATCCCCCAGCTCCATTTTCTGGCTTCGGCTGGACTCGTGGGTAGTCCTGGTAGCTCAGGCTACCTTTTCGGGGCCAAGATGGAGGGCACAGCCATGCAATCAGGCCATGGAGCCAGGCAGATCCTGCACAGGGGAAGGTGGCACCTCATTCTCCCCGCCAGAGCTCTGGGGGAACACAGGAGCCTGAAGTCCACTCCACGAGAAGGTGGTTCTCAGCAGACCCTACGCAGGGCCTCTCGGCCCGAGGGACAGGTCTTCTATACAACTCCAGTCCCGGTGCCAGCATCCACGGCTGGCTGTGTGTGATTTCTGCATGCATATGTGTATGTGGGTATATCTCCTACATTGTTTACCATTTGCATGTGATCTTTTCCTGCTGAACAGCTGTAGTTGAGGAATGGGTATGACGCCCACTGCATTGCTTGCATGGACAGACAGCATCTTTCATTGGGGTCCCCTGTCAGCACTGCTTTACACTCACGCTTCCCACCATACTTCTTAGTGTGCCGCCCTCCAAGGATGCCCCCTTGATGTGGGTGGGCCAGGCCCTGCTCTTCCCTTGGGTTCCCCACAAGACCCCAAGCAGAGCGTGAAGGGGCATCCCGCCAAGGGTAGAGGTGCTTCCTTCCGGCATCTCTGCCATGAAAGGCCTTGGTGTCCCACAGTGCAGTGGCCTCCCCAGGGGTGACCCCAGGTGGATTCAGGGTCAGTGTACCCCGGGGTACATTAGCAAAGCCACCCACCCACCACAGCCCCTCCTAGCAGCAGTTCATGGTCTGCCTCCCAGTCCTGTGGGCCCAGCAGTTCCCACAGTGGGGGAAGCCAGGTTCAAGTGTTGGGAGCTCCTGCCAGGATCTCTCCCTGCCCTGGGGATCAGATGTGCCACTGGACGGGGCCTGAGTGTGGAGCTGAGGTAGCCTGGATAGAGCTTTGCAGGGACAGTGAGGGCTCTATGCAACACACACATATACACACCCAGCTCACCTGGGAAGGAAGCGCTATGCTCCCATTGACGAGAAAGCCATGTCCATCCTTGTGCCATGGTCACCGAGTGAACACTCCTCTCTGCCCCGGCCAGCACTCCGTCCAGCCCCCTGACACTGCTGGCACTTGGGCCTCTGCAAGCTCCTCACGTCCTGCCTGCCCTGCAGGAAACCACTCAGCTGGGCTAACTCCCTTGTCCTCATGCACCGGGTCATGTAGGCCAGCTCTGAGTATAGAATGACAGAAAACAGGAGACTCCAGCGAGTCCTGAAGTCCATGCCCCTCCCTATCCCTGGGACCCCACAGTAGGTGGAGACAAGAGCAGCCCCCCACCTGTGGCCCCTGCCTCCTGCCCTCCCCTTAGGCCCTGGAGGCCTGCCTCTGGGGACACCCATTGAAGGTTCCCATGCTGAAGGCCTGGGCCTTCCCCCAGAAGCACCAGCTGGTCCTACCCCAGCTCTGGCTCCCACGATCTCCATTTTCTCTTCTCCAGGCACCTGGCAAGCAGAAGACAACCTTGCCAGTCGGCGGAACCCCCAACGACGGCGCCTGTCATCCAGCAGCCCAGAGGACCCCGAGGACAGTCCCTGCGTGTGGGGTCCACTGGCCATCTGAGTGCCCGGCCCCTGCCCCTGGGCTCCCCTCCATCCTTGCACTCCACCCATTCTCACTGGCCCCTGGGGCCTCAGCAAGATGCTTGTAGACTCCTCCTCCTCCTCCTCACACAAGAGCTGAACAGAGTGCTCACTCTGCCTCCCCCTGCTGTGCCGGCTGCAGCCAAGGTCCCTCTGGTTCCCCAAGAGGGAAGCACTCTCCACCTTGAGCTGAGACCCACTGGGTTCCCAGACCCTCTGCGGAGACCTGCCTGACCCTGCAGCGACCGGACCTTGGGGTGCAGCTGAGGGCCACAGCTCAGTGCAGCTACTGCGCATGTTTCGTCTTTGGCGTGGACATGAGGCTGGGTCTGGGCAGCCCAGTAGACAGGTGTCCCGTGGCACCACCTGGTCCCTGCGGGGTGGCAGTGGGGGTGTGCACTGCATGTGGGGTGTCCTTCCAGGAGGGGGAGCACAGTGGCAACCTGGAGAGGGGTAAGAAGCCAGTTCTTACTGCTGCAAGCAGAGCTGGTGTCCTGTGCCTTGTGTACCTGAGACCCCCGGATTGGGTGACCCCCTGTGAGGAGCAAATGCTTTAAGGAAAAACTTCTTGAGCACCCCCGAGTGCCAGGAACTGCTGAGAGCTACCATGTGGTCATATTTCATCTCTGTGGCCCAGGGAGGTGCGTCTCATCCCATCCTCTGCCTGCGCCCCTTTTCAACAGGAGAAGACCCAGACAGGTGTGGCCCAGAGATGCTCTGACACGTGCAGGGTTCCCTAGGAAGGGGTGGGAAGCACTGAGATAAGCCCAGGTAGCATCAGGGCCTTTACCCGGTGGTGCCCCCCCCCCCCCATGGACTTGTCCCTGCTGCCTCCTGGATGTAATGAAAGGGAGGTGAGGGGAGCCGTCTGCCCTGCCTGCCAGCCCGCAGAGCCACACCTGCAGGATCCAGGCTGGGCAGGCCACGGCTGGTTACCATCAGCCACACCTGGCCTTGGTTTGATACGTTGGGGGTGCCTGCTGTTGTTTGGGGAGCAGAGTAAGAAGCAGTTGTGTGTGAGGTTGTGGTGGATGGAGCTATGTCCACTGTGGCTTCTCTTGGGATTTGCAGTTGCTGTCCTAGCAGAGCTCTTCCAAGGCCCACAGTGCCACAGGTGCCCAGGTGCGGGGACTGTCCCGCAGCCCTGCAGGAGGGGGGCCCATCGTCAGGTGGAGCCCAGGCTCCTGTGATGTACTCTGCCGTTTAGGCCCCACCTGCTGGCCCTCCCATCCCTTACTCCTGCATTCATCCTTACAGCCCTTTCACACTTAAAGATGTAAGCCAGTGTAACTTGAGCAATAACTCCCCTTCCTGGTTTCCTTGAAGCGCCAAGCTGCTGGGAGCTGCCCTTGACCTGAGGCAGTGGCAGGCAGAGCCGCCTGGGGTCCAGCTGCGTTCACTGTGTGGTGTTAGCTGGAAGGACTGACTCAGTAAACAGTAGCCAGGTGGCCAGCAGCCCTCAGGGAGGCCGTGCCCACTTTGCTACTTGCAGCAAAGTGTGAACCCCCCCCCAGGCTAGTGCTGTCCCTGGCTCCAGGTGACCAGCAGCACTCCCAGGGGAGTGTGGTCCCGTTCCTATCCCCTTCTTGCCCTCTCGGTGGCACTTTGGAGAGCAGAAATACCTGCTCCAGGGTAAAGGAGGTGGCAGTGTCCTGGCTCTTGGTCACCCTGGCCGGGGGCGGGTCAGCAGTCGCCCTCCTGCCCAGCTCCATTTGATGTTTACCAAGTGGGGTGGGCTTGGCTTCTGCCCACACACAGCACTCCCTGGAGGGGTACACCAGGGCCCTGCTGATGCCGGGCTAGTCCTGGCTTCCCACAGCCTTTTTCCTTTTGCCCAGTTCCACCCCATCAGAGCTCCCCAACCCACACATCCCACCCCATCCCCCTCGCAGCAGGTTCAGGCCACACACTCCACCCTGCCTCCCCTGAGGTGTCAGAGCCTGGCCACTTGGTGTCCGCATCCGCTGCTTTAGGACCTGCCGCAGGTGCGGTGTGTGCACCCCTCACACCTGGCGCGCACTGGACATGCCACAGTGGGGACAGCAAAGATGCCATATTTATGGATTGGTGCATGGTTCTTGAAAATGAATAAAACTTAACAAGGGAAAGCGATGTAAACCCAAAGCGGACTTATTTGTGAAAGCTTCTGTCTGACTTTATCCAGCGCCCTTTTTCAGTGTTTTTATTACAAGATCCGGAGGTGGAGGAATGAGAGGCAGGCACCTAGGTGGGCATCCACTTGCGCCAGCCCAACTCCCCCCACCTGCCTTCTGCAGCCTCCTTAAACCGGAGAACTCACAACACCAGCTCCTCAATAATTAAAGAGCGGGAAAGGTGGTGATGAGGGAGGCCGGGGAGGGGGATACGCCACCGTCCCCTCCCTCTTCCTCCCGCTCCTGGTGAGAAGTGCGCCGCTACGCACTGGCTTTGCACGACGCCTCGCCCCCGCCTTTGCGTCCTCGGCTAAGCGGGCGGCAAGCTGAACGCTGCTGCGGGGCCGCAGCCGCGCCAACTTCCTTAGAGAGGCCAGACCCGGCGTGTCCGCGGTCCACCGGCCGCCTGGTGAGAGCAGCAGGTGGCACCCGGGCCCCATCCCCAAACCCAGGGGCAGCCCGAGCTGGAGGGGGTGGCGGCGGTTTCCCCGAGGCCTCGGGCGGGAGCCGCGAGCGCAGCGCGGGGCCTTGGCGCGGGAACGCGCGGGGCCGGACGCGGCGGCGGGTAGGGGGCTGGGTGGCGCGGGAGCGAGTTCGACCCGAGTTGCCGCCAGAGAAAGCCGCAAGGGCCCGCGGTTTCCTTGGAGACGCGCCGACCAATGACAGCGGCGGAGGCTGTTTATGGGGGCGGAGCGTCACCATGGCAGCTGGAGAAGCCTTTGGAGCGGCTACTTAATGCCTGTCCCGGAGCCGCTAGCACTGGGAGAAGCGCCGTCGGGCGGGGGAAAGGCGAGGACCGCTGGCAGGGCCCTCCAGCCGGGGGCCGAGAGCCGCGGGGGGTGGGAGGAACTTCTTCCAGAACCTTCCACGGGCCCGGGCCGCGCTCTGAGCCAGGTAAGGCACCTGGAGGGCTGCGGACCACGAGGGGGAGAAGGAGCGTCCCTTCCCTCGCCGACGGAAGCGCACGGTCCAGGGGCTGACATCGCTCCCCCTCACCCCTTTCCTGGTACCCCTGACCCTGACGGCGCTTTTTAAGCCTCCACCAACCGCCCCTTACCCGTGGTCTGTGGTCCCCCTTTTGTGTTGTCGTGGGGTCTGGCGGGCTCGGTAAACTCGACTCGGACGCCCTTCCGGAGGGTTAACAAAACCTCGCAGGGAGAGAGGCAGACAGGTCCGCGGGGTCGGACCTGGGCACGCTGCACCTGTCTCCGCACCTGCGACCCTCAAGGGTCCCCGCACAGCTGCGGGGACGGTTTCAGAGGCTCCCCCAGCTCCTGCCTTTCCCAAAACCTACTTCCCACCTGCTCCTCCTGGGAAGGAGCCAGGAGCACTTAGTTTCCCACTGTGCTGTCCCCGCAGGCACCGCACACGTATCTGCAACAGGCGACCCCCGGGCCGCGGGATGGCAGCGCGCCTCAGGGCCACCCTGTAACCGGAGCCAAAGGAAGGGCGAGCGAGGCGGGCCTTCCCCGGCCAACCCGTGGATGCTGGCCGCCCCTTCCGAGCGTCCCCGCAGACATGGCGGAGAGCTGGCTGCGCCTCCCGGGAGCGGGGTCGACAGAGGAAGCCGGGCCTGAGGGCGGCCTGGAGGAACCCGCTGCCCTGGATGACAGCCTGACCAGCCTGCAGTGGCTGCAGGAATTCTCAATTCTCAACGCCAAGGCTCCGGCCCTGCCCCCGGGGGGCACCGACCCCCATGGCTATCACCAGGTGCCAGGCTCGGCCGCTCCTGGCTCCCCGCTAGCGGCCGACCCTGCCTGCCTTGGGCAGCCACACACGCCGGGCAAGCCCACGTCGTCGTGCACGACACGCAGCGCGCCCCCCGGGCTGCATGCCGCACCTCCCGAAGACGTGGACTACTCCACCAACCCGCACGTGAAGCCGCCCTACTCGTATGCCACGCTCATCTGCATGGCCATGCAGGCCAGCAAAGCCACCAAGATCACGCTGTCGGCCATCTACAAGTGGATCACCGATAACTTCTGCTACTTCCGACACGCGGATCCCACCTGGCAGGTAGGTGGAGACGCCGGCGGTGGCTGCAGTGGCTACAGGGTGCCCTGCACACAGCGCCAGTGAAACCAAGCCAGTCCGCCCACCAAAAGTCTGAGGGGTCTCTTCTTGGAATTGCCCCTCCCTTAACTTCTGGGTTGGAGTGGGGGTGGGGAAAGAATGTCCAGGCAGCAGACTTCCGGCCGTGGGAGGTTGGGGATGCAGACGTGGAGGCCCAAGGGGGCACAGCTTGTTCTTGGTCTAGCTACAGGACGCCCCCCAGACTCCTGGGCCAGGTGCTGGAGTGACACACCCAGTCTTGTCCCAAGTCCTGGAACCCCTAGAAGGCTGCCCGTCCCAGGATGGTTGGTCAGCTGGAGCCTGCTCCTCTCCCACCCCACCCCACCCCCGCCTCGCCAGGCCCTGCATCCTGCCCTTTGGCATCGCCGACATTGGCATTGTGGGTGGGGGTGGAACGGGTGTCCAGGATAGCAGGTCTGAGGTCTCCCTGATGCTGCTGTCCCACCCAGCTCCCCAACACTCCAGCTCCTCCTGTTTCCTGCCTTTACCCCTCCTCCCCCATCCCTTTCTCAGCCACCCTCCCTAGGGGGACAATTACCTGAGCCAGGTGCTTCCCGAAGGGACTCTGCCTGCCTGCTGGCTTCGAGTTCCAAGTGTGCAGAACTGGCACAGAGCAGCCCAGGGGCCCTGTCCACCATGTAAACAGCACAGCCCGATCGGGTACTACTGTCCACATCTCCATACCCCTCCTGCCAGGAACCCCCGCCCCGGGTGGGCAACCGACTCCTCAGCGTGGATCAGGCAGGGACAGGATGGAGTTGGGAGCTTGGGAGATGTTCCCCGGGGAATCCTCAGCTCTGGCTCAAGGGCAAGAGAGAGACCGAGAACTTGCGGGATGAACACTAGGGAGCCACGCCGTTCAGTCACCTGCCGAGCCACTCCAGACATCCAGCCGTGACCTTGGGACCCGGAACTCCGGCCCCCCACCCTTCCTCGGGCCCGAGTTAGGTCCAGGAATGAGCTGTGTGTTCTGGGTTGGGTAATAATCAACTGAGCCCCAGGTGGGAGACAGCTGTGGGGGGTGAGGGCCCAGGCCAGCAGCAGGCTCAACAAACAAGCCACTAGATCCTCTGTATCACAAACACACCCCCCCCCATCCCAGGGCACCCAGCCCCCTCCTCCACCCCACGCCCTTGACTGACAAGGCCAGCCAGGCCCCCCACCCCTGCAAAGAGGAGCTGGTGATCCAGGCCCTGGGGGAGCCAAGGGCCTTGGCTGGTGGCCGCAAGTGGCAGGGGGAGGGAGGCAGGGAGAGCAGAGCTCGGATGACTGAGCAGGCACATATCCCAGCAACGGAGAACAAAAGCCCTTACTGGTGCCCCGTGGCTGGCGTCCCAGTGCCTACGCGAGGCGACTCGGGCTGTAGCCGCTGGGCCATCCTCCCCTCCCCCGAGGAGCAGCCCAAGAACCAGCCGTTGGTCTTTCCGCAGAATTCCATCCGCCACAACTTGTCCCTGAACAAGTGCTTCATCAAGGTGCCCAGGGAGAAGGATGAGCCGGGCAAGGGCGGCTTCTGGCGCATTGACCCCCAGTACGCAGAGCGGCTGCTGAGCGGCGCTTTCAAGAAGCGGCGGCTACCCCCGGTCCACATCCACCCGGCCTTTGCCCGCCAGGCCTCACAGGAGCCCAGTGCTGGTGCTGCGGCCACCGCTGCGTGGGCCGCGCCTCTGACCGTGAACATGGAGGCCCAGCAGCTGCTGCGGGAGTTTGAGGAGGCCACAGGGGAGGCGGGCTGGGGTATGGGCGAGGGCAGGCCCGGGCACAAGCGCAAGCAGCCAGTGCCCAAGCGGGTGGCCAAGGTCCCGCGGGCCCCCAGCACCCTCCTGCCGACCCAGGAGGAGCAGGACGAGCTGGAGCCCCTCAAGGGCAACTTTGACTGGGAGGCCATCTTTGATACGGGCACTCTGGGCGGGGAGCTGGGCTCTCTGGAGGCACTGGAGCTGAGCCCCCCGCTCAGCCCTACCTCGCATGGGGACGTGGACCTCACTGTCCACGGCCGCCACATCGACTGTCCCGCCTCCTGGGGACCCCTGGCTGAGCAGGCAACTGACAGCTTGGACTTCGATGAGACCTTCTTGGCCACATCCTTCCTGCAGCACCCATGGGAGGACAGCAGCAGTGGCTGCCTGCCCCCGGAACCCCTCTTTGAGGCTGGGGATGCCATGCTGGCCGCTGATCTGCAGGACTGGGCCACCGTGGGTGCCTTCTTATAAGAGGCCGGGCCCAGCCCTGGCTCCCATGGGACAGCACCCCACTGCACATAATCCTCTCTCCTTCACAACACGGACCCTATGAATACTGCAGGACCCCGCAAAGGGCGGCTGGTGGGTGGGCCGGAGCTCCCGTGGCTGGCCCCCACGAGGCCGAACCATCACCAGCCACGGGCTGCCCTCCAGCTCGAGCCCAGGAGGCTAAGAACTGGGGGCCCAGGACTGCAGCCTCCCCAGTCTCCATCCACTCCATACATATACAGTGTTTCATTGATGTGCCCCCTCCCCTCTCCGACACCTGCGACAGGGTCCTCAGAGACCTGCAAGGGACAGGGGCTGGGGGGAAGGTTAGGCCAGGCTGGAGGTTCCGAGTCGGCCCTCCCTCCCCAGGGCACCTGGCTCTACCCAGCCTCTCCAGCTCCCTGCTGCTAACCCTAGGTTTCTACCCAGAGAACCTTCCCAGGTACAACAAATGCTAATTAGGTGACGACAAATAAACCCCCTAGAGGCTTCTCAGGGCACAGCTGCCCTCCCCGGGGACTAGGGGAGAAGGCCGCCTTGGCTAGGGTGGGGCAGGGCCCAGATGATGGCCTTGGGGACCGGATGAAAGGAGATGTTCTCATGGCTTCGGCGGTTTCCCCTGGAGCCGAAACTGGGGGTGGTGGTGCCAGACCCTCATCTCTGAGCCCGACTTAAGTTCAGAGCCGTGGGCAGTTGGCGGGAGGGGGACCGGGAGGCGGGGCAGCTGAGCTGCAGCCAGGGCTAATATAGCGAGAGTAGTTGTAGCGTAACTGGGCGAGACTGGAGTTGTGCAGGACCCCCCCAATCTCCCGGAACCAAGCACAGAGGAGCTCCCCAAGCCCACCTGCACATGCTTGGGGTGGGTGGCGGGCAGGTCTTGCTCCACCCTGGCCCCAGACTTTGTCCCACATCCACCCTCCTGCCCATGCTGGAGGGGGACAAGTTAGCTTTTTTTTTCACAGCAAGTTATTTACGACAAATTTTTTTTTAAATAAAAAATTTTTAAAACTCTTACTAGTGGCTCAGCTCACGATTTCCTTTGGGGAAAGGCCCAGTTAGAGTGGGGGTTGGCGGGGGGAGAGGTGTCAGTGACCCAATGAACTCCCCACGACCTCATGGTCCCCAGGGTGGAAGGGATCTGCCAGCGCGCAATACTTTAGGGTACAGAGGCAGGAGGGCTGGCCTGTGCCCGGCCCCCGCTGTCCACCACCCCCGGGGCCTGCCCGGGCTTGCCTGTGGTGCCTGGCCTGGGCCTCTACCCAGTGCCTCCCGCCTGCAGTGCTGACCTGGAGGGATGGTGAGTGAAGTTAGAGGCCCCCAGTCCAGGAACAGGCCCCTACTTTGCACCCCACTTGCTGAAGACCGGCCTGAGAAGACACAGACCCCCAGGAAGCAGGGAAGGGGGAGTCAGGGGGCTCAGATTCCACCCTGCACACAGACACCTGCAGGTCTACTCTTGGGGGGACCTGGTTGCCATGAGGCACAGGTTGCCTCGCTCTGCGTGTGCCTGGCGCCGTCCCTTCCCCCCCCCCCTTCGCCCAGGCTGCAGGCAACCCCCCAGGGCCTAGCCCACCCCACAGGCGGACTTGGCTCTTACACACACACACACACACACCATGGTGGGCACTGTCCCAGCAACCCTGCCCGGCTTCCATGGACCCTGGTCTCGCAAAGCTTTTCTCTTCTGCCCTCCAGCCTGGCTGTAGGCCAGCTTGGCGTTCCAGGTACTAACTTGCTGCTTTCACTTGCTAATCATTCCAAATATTCCAGCGCACAGCACCGGCTGGCTGGGCAGGGCTGGGGTTCCTGGAAGGCCAGGAGCTGGTTCTCCCTCCATGTCTGCCCTTGGCCACCCCTTCTTCAGCAGAGACACCCCCACCACATGTAGTGGGGAACTAACATACACCACAGCTTCTCCATTGGCCCTGGGACTGTGTCACTGTCCACACGAGGCAGACAAAACGGCCTATGCATGGGGCGAGGGCTGGTGCCAGCTGTCCCTGCCCCCACCAGCTGTCATGCCCATCTTCAGAAACCCCTAGAATCTCTGAAGTCTAGGCTGTACCCTGGGCCCATCGAAGCATGGTCTATGGGGTGAGGCCAAGGCACCAGTATTTTTTTCAAAAAGTTCCCAGAGGCGTCGAATTTGCACCCAAACCTGGGAGAGTGGCTGTTGGCAGTGCTCGCCCAGGGAGAGCCCTGGCAGCAACTTGCCTAGCACTGCCCTGCAGTGCAGCCAAGTGGGCTTCTGACGTGGGAGGTGGCCATCTCCACGTAGCTCCAACCACGCGTTTCATGCTGTTTGAGGGTCAGCAGAGCCCCATGCAACCAAAGACCCTGCTTCCCACACTGCCCCGACGGACACTCCCTTTAGTCCATCCAAGATCACAGTCCTTGGGCACTTGGGGTTCAAGCTGTCTCAGCAGTTCCACACCTCCCTGGTGAGGAGACAGTCCCCAAACCACTTGTTGAGTTTCCCAACTTCCACCCCCACAACCTGTTGGAAGGAAGGAGGGGAGGGGAGCTGAATCCTTGGGGCCCGCCCTTCCCCCCAACATATCCTACTGCTCCTGGGAGGCCTGCTCCTCCCCTCCCAGAGCAAACTGGCCAGGCCTCCTCCAGGTGAAGGGCTCTTCCCTCCTCCCTTCCCCACCACACCCAACCTGGCAAGGGGGAGCTGTGCGGGAAGGAAGGGGTTTGCCAAGGAGTCAGGTTCACTGCCATCCTGGGCCCAGGCCTGCAGGTCAACAGGTGTATTTGGACTCTGGCTGCAGGGGGCAAGGGACTGGCCCAGCTGGGGCAGGTCTGGGCCTGTCGGGGGTGGGGACTGGGCGTTGGTAACAATGGGATAGGGAGCAGCCCAAGTCGGGAAAACACAGGTGACAGGTGACAGGAGGGGGCTGGGCAAGACCACCTAGAGCCAGGTGGTCAGCCAGGGTGGGGTCCCCTCCTCCAGGGACGCCTGCACCCCTCACTCTGTGGCTCAGGTGAGGCCTAAAGTTCCATAGAACTCGGGGCTCCCTCTTCTGGAATTGAATTGGAGTCTCAACACCCCAGCCTGAGCGGCCCAGTTCAGATCCTAGTGGAGGAGGAAGCAGCCCTGAGCTACCAGCAAAATAATAATCATAAAAAAAAAAACAGCAGGAACCAGAGGGGCCTCACCATCCTGCTGCCCCAAGCCCCAGAGGCCTTTGAAATCAAAGCAAAGAGGCCAGCTTCCCAGCAATGCCCCCTCCCAACAGGGCCAGCCTGTTTGCCCGGGAGTTAGGTGTGAGGCTTCTGCCCGCTGCTCGCTGCCCACTGCTGTCCCACCTCCCACCGTGTCCATGACTTGGGTCTGGGGCCAGAGCAGAGGGTAGGCCATATCCCTGCTGGCAGGTAGATGAATGAATGAGTGAATGAATTAATTAACTGAAGGCAGGATGGCAAAGTAGCTTCAGATTTAACACCCAGGGGGGCCTCAGGCCACAGGCTGGGGGCTGCCCAGAAACCCCCTGTAGCTGGGAAGGAGGCTCCTGGGGCCCAGGACAAAGGTCAAGGACAGCCCAGGCCACCTCAGCCTGGAAACGAGGAAGAGACCGGAGAGTTGGCTGTGAATGCAGATGGCTCCCCTGTGGATGGACCAGCTACCACTGCACCCTGGAGACCTCAGCCACAGACCCTGGCCACTGCACAGTGATGGAGCCCTGAGGCCACTGAGCCTGGAACCCCAGGAGCCCCCAGTTCCTGGACCTCCTGAGCTAGGGAGAGGACCCAGGGCGGAGGAACCCGTAAGCGTAGCTAGGCTGAGGATTCTCCCTGACCTTGGGAACAGTGGGAGAGGGCTGGGTCGAGTTCAAGTCCCATGTGCCTCTCCTCTCTGGGTTCCCCACTTCTCGTGTGGGTTTCACAGGAGGGAGGTGGACATCAAGAGGGTCCCAGGTGGAAGGAATCCACGCAAGGGGTGGAGCACCCAGCCGCTATCTACAAACGGGGTCCCGGGGGCAGTACCCACCCATTCCAACACTCCTGGTCAAGGTCTCCATAGCCCTGGGGTCCAGGGAGTTGGGAAGGAAGAAAGGGACAGGGAGGAGGGGTTAGAATCAATCTCTCTTTTTTGATTTCACAGCAATAACCAAGGAGACACAGTAGGTAGGTGCAATTCAGAAGCCTGAAGATCAACCAGGGCCCAGCCAAGTCCCGCAGGGACAAAGTTCAGAGCCAAAACCAGGCCGAGGACACAGACCCTGCCAGAGGAGAGAGCCAGGGCGGAGCCTTCAAGACCCCCCCTTCACTGGGGGAGGAGAGCCCCAGCATGGGGGGTCCCTCCCAACACCTGCAAGGAGAGTCCCTACCTGCTGGGAGAGTCCACAGCGCCCAGGGGCCAACAGGAAGGCAGCGTTTGCTGGGGAAGGCCTCCCTAGAGGCGCTTTGCTTAGCCAGGGGTGGGGGTGAGGATGGGTGTGTGTGTGGCCCCAGAGTCTGACAGCAGGGCACCAGAAGGAGAGAGTGTGGCCTGTGCTTGCTGAGGCATCTGAGGGTACTGGGTTCCGGTGTGTGTGTGTGTGTTGAATAAGGATGCCACCAAGATCCCAGAGGGAACTGGGAGGTGGGAATGAAGGAAGGGGAAGTGGGTGTGGCTCTGTTAGGAGCAAGGGGGTTTGAGGAGGAGGTACACAGGTCAGCAGGCCCTGAGAGCCCAAAGGCTAGTAGTGTTCCCTACAATCGCTCGCCTGGCCACACAACTCCCGCCCCAGCTGTAGGCCCTGACACAGCTTCCCAACCTTGAGGGGCAAGGCCAGGGCAGGCCTCAGGTGGGCAGCCAAGTCCTGACCTCATGAGGTCATTGTTCCCTGCACCCCAAGGCTGGGGCTGGGGAGCAGGAAGGACTGGCCTGGGAGGTCTTCCAGCCCACGGAGCGGGACCAGCATAGACCTCCGAGCTGCACGGTCTCCCACGTCCCTCTTGCTCAGGCTCTGCTCGGCTGTGCCAGGCACCCCTAACTCCCTGTGAGCCTGCCTGGCCTGGGAGACCTGCACCCCGCCCTCTGTCCAACATGCTCTCCACTACACGGCCAGTGGTACTTTTTTTTTTTCTTCATTTATCAAGGAAATTAAAAAATGTATATATATGCTCACAGATTACAAATCAGTCTTTTAAAAAAATAAATGAGGACCCAGCACAATGGTTCAATTGGCTAATCCTTCCTCTGCAAATGCCAGGATCTCATACGGATGCCAGTTCACGTCCTGGCTGCTCTACTTCCCATCCAGCTCCCTGCTTGTGAGCTGGGAAAGCAATGGAGGATGACCTGAAGCATTGGAACCCTGCACCTGCCTGGGAGATGGACACGAACCAGTGCTCATACAGGTTGTTAGCACTGGTAGGCGGAGGCCCACACTGCCTCCTCACTCGAAACGCTAAGCAACTGGGGGTCAGTCACGGCCAGTGTCTGTGAGCCCTAGAAGGTGCCACGCTGCCTTCCCCAAGGTGTCACCATGCCCTCCCCGCACCCCCGCAGTGCCACCCAGAGTTGAAAATGCCCTGCAGCAGACACTTCCTGTTCGGCCTCCTTGACTCCAGCCTGCTGGCTACACTGCTGGCCTTCCTGCTGCTGGCCGTGCAGTGTTCCTCCAGCTGCCCCCTGTTCCACCGCGGCCTAGCGTGCTCCCAGGGTGCAGTCAGCTTCATTTCCCCATCCAGGACGTGGAGTTTTGCCACAGAGCTTGTTGGAATGGAAGGAACTCCACTGGCCTCCAGGTACACCACGCTGACCAGCCCCTCAGGGAAGGCATTTGGCAGGAAGTAGTGGGCAAAGCTTTGGGAAGCAGGCACCCCGCTGGCTGTGCCCAGCACAGGGGAGGTGGTACTGCCTGCTACTGAGAACACTGCAATGACCTCCCTCCTTGGGAACGGCCTCCAGCCTCACCCCTGCACAGCCAGCAGGGTGGGGAAGGGAGAGACAGGTTCCTGGACTAGACTGGGATGTGGACACCCAGCGCCAGAGTGAGCCAGGCAACTCCTGCTCGCTCCAGGCCAGGCCCTGCCAAGGCACAGGGATGGCTCCAGCCAGCGGGGAGGCCCACTGTGGGCAACCTGAATTGGGTCCCTGCCCACAGCCTGGCTCAGCCCGGCCGTTGCGGGCATTTAGGGGAGTGAACCAGTGGGTGGGAGTGCTTTGTCTGGGCTCGCACTCTGCATTCCACCTGTCTGCTCAGCACATTGGCAGTGCGTGTGCAACGGCAGGGCAGTCCCTGGTTCCCCATGGCACCTGCCAGGAGGGAGCTGGGAGTGGCAAAGTTTGTGCTCAATAGAGTGTGGCAGAATGCAGAAGCGTGGTGCGCACCCCAATTCTCAGCCTGGGGAAAGCAGCTAGGGGCTTCCTACCCCCTCCGTGGCCTCAGGAAAGGCCCTGCCCAAGTTCCCCCGTGCGCGCGCGCGCGCGTGTGTGTGTGTGTGTGTGTGTGTGTGTGTCCCACCCTCTGCTCATCCACCCACTCCACAACCAGGCATCCAGGAGGGCTCTTCTTGGGGTGCAGGGGGGTAAAGCCACTTGGGCCCAAGAGAGCAGGAGGGACGTTCCCCCCGCAAAAAACTTCATCCCATCCAGTCCCCAGCCTTACACCAGACACCACTCAGGGCCTGCATTATATATGTCCCAGCCCCCAGGCCACGCTGTGCCCACCTTCCCCTACGGGCTGGATGCTGAGGAGAGGCCCGGGCGGGGGCACAGCAGTGGGCGTCCCTGGTAGTCAGGAGCCGCGGACTGCGAGCCGGGAGCCATTTCTGGTGCCTTCCAGGGTCGGACACCCGGCAGCTGCCCTGGCCTTGCAGTTCTCGGGGCACCCCAGCTTCCGTGGCAAAGGCTGGCGGGGGTGCCCTCTCGTGGTCGGCTTCGCTCCCTACGCGCTGGAGCCCCGAGTTCGCGGAAGGACACGCCCCCTGGCGGTCAGACCCATGTACGGCGCCCTGCAGGCGCTGAGGGGGTGTGCAATGAGAGTGGAGGTGTGTGGCTCTGAGCCGCGTCACAGATGGGCACCCCTGAGTCCGTGCCCCACTGTGCAGCAATTGCTGCAAGCCCAGCTTGCTGGAGAATTTCCTTCCTGGGTTACCTTGCTGCCCCAGAGAGTGCAGAGCCTCTTGCTTGGGGTGGTGAGAGCAGCCAGGGCCCTCAGGGAATGCTGGAGGCTGAGGTGTGCCAGGCCCAGAGCTGCTGAGGACGCCTTCTCTACCTGCTTTTCTCCTGCTCTGAGAATCTATTCTTTTTTTTTTTTTCATTTCATTTTTGTGTTCATTTATTTGAAGGGCAAAGACACAAAGCCAGGGCAAGCTCCCATCCACCAGTTTACCCTCCAAATGACAGAAGCAGCTCCATCCGGGCCTCCCACCAGGGTGGCAGGGATCTAATGACTAAGGCATCCCTTGTTGCCCCCCTGGGGTCCGTGTTACCAGGAAACTGAAGCTTTCACCTTGCCAAACGCATGCCCCCACCCTGCCCCCCAGCCCTGCCCCCTCCTCCAGCAAAGAGACTAAATGGCCAACTGTGGGTGCCAAGTGCTGGACAGCTCGTTGGAAGACCAGGGACCACAGGTGTCAGGTCAGGGGACAGGCAAGTGACCTTCATGCATTTGTACGGGTGCAATCTTGTCATGAAGATGCCAGAGTGTGGCCATCCAGCAACTAGGCAGTGGTCATCTGTGTTGGTTGCCCTGGTCTTCCACCGTGGCCTCCCTGGGCAGGCCTGGGCAGCAGGCAGCTCAGGGCGGCATGTGCCAGACTATGAATGGTCGTGTCCACATCAGCTGTCACATCTTGTGGTTCTATGTTCAACGTCCTGCTCCCTGGGTCACCAGCTGGGAGCGAGTGGCTGTGCCTGCCTGCCGCCCACATGGTGGTGTCAGCGTTTCGGATTTTCGCCATTGTGACAGGCGTGCTGTGTAGTCATCGTGGAGTTCACTGCTATGAGATGGAACACCTTTGGAGACCCACATACGCCATCTGTCCCTGTTCAGGACTTTTGTCAGTATTTAATTAATCAGAATTTTATTTAATGCTGGGGCATTGGCTCAACTGGCTAATCCTCCACCACCAAGAGCCAGGATCCCATGTGGGCATCAGTTGGTGTCCCAGCTGCTCCACTTCCATCCAGCTCCATGCTGATGGCTTGGGGGAGCAGTGGAAGACAGCCCAAAGCGTTGGGACCCTGCACCCATGTGGGAGACCCCGAAAAAGCTCCAGGCTCCTGGCTTGCATCTCGCAGGACTGGGTCACTCACACCCTGCCCTGAGGAAACCCAAAGAAGAGCTGGTCTATTTCCGTAGATTGTTGATCGTGCCAGGCACGGTCGGGACAAGGCAGCTTTGTTTGAATGGATGCCCCTTTGCTGTTACACACATAGGCATTTGAGAACAACCCAAACTCACAGTTTTATTCCAACTTTTAACGAATAACCAGAGCCCCCTTCTCACCATGAATTTTCACAAGCAAGTCCCCCAGCCTCAGCCAGCTTTTCCCATTGAGCTGAGTCGACCCAGGGCACTGGCTCCTGCGTGGGGAGGGAGACGCTGTGCCAGACACAGTGTGAGGAGGATCACGAGGGCTGGTGCAAGGATGGCGTCAAGAAGGGACAGGAGCCCAGACCACGCTCACCTCTGCATGGACGTGTGTGCAGAGCGCACACCCGCCTGGCTCCTTGAGAAAAATGCAGCGCCCTCATAGTCTAAGCTTTCTCCTGCCTAGCTCTCCCAGCCGCACAAGCAGAGCCCTCCCTGGGCTTCCCTGACATCCTCCCTGCATGTTGGACTCAGGAACTCCTGCCCCTCTGGCTCCCACACCTGCAACAGGTGGTAGAGTGGGGCCAGGGCTGTGGTGGTGCTGCGTGCCAGTTGCCAGCATCTCACACTGGAGCGCAGGTTCAAGTCCCAGGGGCCCAGTTCCCATCCACGTCCCTGCTAATGCAGCCACTATGTGTGTGGGCCCCTGTCGCCCAGCAAGAAGACCCAAAGGGGTGGGGGAGGGGGAAGGGCCAGTCTGAAGAGAAGCTTTGAGTAGTGATGTGGCCTTGATGTTCATAATTGGCATCCGGGAGTTACAGACCTTGCAGATCTCTGAGCAGGTGGCTTCAAAATAGACTTCGAGTGGAACTTTCATTTTATTGGGATGCTTTAACTGAAAAGTGAATGACCCTTGGAGGAGGAGCCCCTCTCCAGTCTCTTCTGCGACTAAGCGAGGCCCAGAACCTTCTCGCTCTGGCAGGGAGTCGGCCCGGAGGAATAACCCCACTGGGCACTCCGGTCCCGCCTCCCTCGTCCGCCACACCTAAGATGGCCGCCCGCCCATGCCTAGGTCGAGCTCCGCTCAGCCACGCTTCCGCCTGCCTCTCCCAACATGGGTGCTGCGTGCGCGCCCTGGGCGGGGCTAGGGGCGGAAGTGGGTGTGACAGGGACGGGAGCCGACCGGGCCCGGGAGGGCAGGTAGACCCTGCAGAGTGGAGGCCCCAAGGTGGAGAGCGATGATTCCTCCTCAAGAGGCATCCGCCCGGCGGCGGGAGATCGAGGACAAACTGAAGCAGGTGGGGCTGCTCTGAGGGCAAGGGGGCCGAGAGCCGGGCCGGGGAGCGAGGGGTCTTCCCTCAGCCTCCAGCGTCTGGTGATGGCTCCCTCTCCGCTGCCTGTAGGAGGAGGAGACGCTGTCGTTCATCCGTGACAGCCTGGAGAAGAGCGACCAGCTGACCAAGAACATGGTGAGGGCCTCGTGGGCTTGGGCGGAGGGCGGGAGGCGAACCCCGCGACCCTCACCTCGGGCTGCAGCCCGGCTCACGGGGTAGCGCCGATGGCGATGGGGCTGGCTCCTGGCAACTCTCCCGGGGTCGCAGGAGACCGTGGCCGCCTTGTAGGCAACAGGCGCTGGATGAAGAAGGCACCTGCAGCGGCAGCATCCTGTAAGGGCGCTGGTTCCAGTCTCGGCTCCACTTCCAACCCAGCTCCCTGCTGAGGCGCCTGGGCAAGCCTCGGCGGAGGCTGGGGGACACGATGGTGCCCCCGGGGGCACATCTGAGGCCTTCCTGCGCCCAGCTTACTGTTTGGAACAGCAGAGCTGAGCTGGACCCGGGATGGGCACAGGAGCCCCCTCCAGGGGTCTGAGAGCCAGGGGCTGTGCTCCACAGGTGTCCATCCTGTCCTCCTTCGAGAGCCGCCTCATGAAGCTAGAAAACTCCATCATCCCGGTGCACACGCAGACCGAGAACCTGCAGCGGCTGCAGGAAAACGTGGAGAAGACGCTGGCCTGCCTGGACCACGTCATCGGCTACTACCATGTGGCCAGCGACACAGAGAAGACCATCCGGGAGGGGTGGGCCGGGGCCCTGGGAAGGGACGCTGGGATCTGTGGCCACTTCCCCGCGCTCTCCTTCTCCTGAGCTGACCCCCGGCCTCCCATCCACAGCCCCACGGGCAGGCTGGAGGAGTACCTGGGGAGCATGGCCAGGATCCAGAAGGCCGTGGAGTATTTCCAGGACAACAGTCCAGACAGCCCGGAGCTCAACAAAGTGGTGAGGGGCCGGGGAGGCGTGGGAGGGCGCTGCCTGCCTGCTGCCAGCTCTGGAGGGGCACTGGGCCAGCTCTGGAGGAATACGGGACGCTGGCTGGGGGGCTGGGCTTCACAGGCTCCAGACCAGGAGACCTTGGCCTCCAACGTTACAGAATTAGAACCACGCTGAAGTATAAACAGCACATGAAATATAAATATCGCATTGGAGCTTTATAAATGGATCAGGGCGTGCTATGAGACTTACCATGTCCACCCCTTCAAGTGTACAGTCGGGTTCTCGCATGTAACCATCCCCACTGCCAGTCTCCCCAGACCAAAGCTTCATTTCTCCCAGTCTTTCAAAGAAATAAATAGATCTTTTAAAAATTTTTTTGAAAGATAAAGATATAACAGTCAGTAGTGGCAGTGCATGGTTTTGAGAATGCATCACTAAAGCTCAGCGTGCAGGTCAGTCACTGGCTGACCAAGAAACACGGTGATGGGACTGCCATTGTGGCTGGGCAGGTAGAGCGCCCACCTGCCAAACCAGCGTCCCATCCATTTAAGTCCCAGCTGTTCCACTTCCAGTCCAGCTCTGTGCTAGTGCACCTGGGGAAAGCAGTGGGCACTGTTCCAAGTACGTGGAGCCTTGTACCCATGTGGGAGACCACGGAAAAGCTCCTGGCTTAGGTGTTGTCCAGCCCTTGGGGGTTGAGCCATTTGGGGAGTGAACCAGCAGATGGAAGCTCTCTCTGTCTCTCTATAACTCTGATTTTGAAAGGAAGGAAAGAAAGTTAAAAAAAAAAAAAAGACGGGGGAAAAAAAAGGACACAGGGACACAAGTTGTGGGGCAGCTCCCAAGGTGACATGCATTTTATAAGAAGGACTACCTTCTAGAACAGTGATGTAGTGGTCTCAGGAGGAAGCAGTTACCATGCCACTTGGAACCCTCACATCACATCGACATGCCCAGGGCTGAGTTCTGGTCCCACTCCCGATTCCAGCTCCCTGCTTAGGCTCACCCTAGGAAACAGCAGGTGACAACAGCATTTTCCCATCTTCCAGGTCACTGCCCTAATGGCTGCATCAGCCAGGGCTGGACCAAGCTGAACCTTGGAGCCCAGCATCCCAGCAGGGTCCCCTGCATGGGATACCTGCTGCTCTCCCAGGTGCCTTAGCAGGGAGCTAGAATGTGGAGTGGAAGTGGAGCGGCGGGGACTCGAACCAGCGCTCCAGCGTGGGGGGCTGGCGTTGCAGGCAGCGGCTTAGCGTGCGCCTCCACAGCTCTGGCCCTGTCCTGGTCCCTTTGTTGTCCTGACAGAAACTGCTGTTTGAGCGGGGCAAGGAGTCGCTCGAGTCAGAGTTCCGAAGCCTGATGACCCGGCACAGCAAAGTGGTCTCCCCTGTGCTCATCCTGGACCTGACCGGCGGCGACGACGAGCTGGAGGTGCAGGAGGATGTGGCCCTGGAGCAGCTGCCCGAGAGCGTGCTGCAAGACGTGGTCCGAATCGCCCGCTGGCTGGTGGAGTACGGCCGCAACCAAGGTGAGGGCCAGCGCGGCGCCTCTGCTGCTCTGCCGGGTCTCCGCGCGGCACTTTTTTTTTTTTTTTAATTTATTCATTTCTGGTATGTCACTTTCTTTTTTTATATAAGATCAGATTTTTTAAAAAAGATTTACTTATTTTTATTGGAAAGTCAGATATACAGAGAGAGAAGAGACAGAGAAAAATATCTTCCAGCCACTGGTTCACTGCCCAAGTGGCCACAATGGCCAGAGCTGAACTCATCCAAAACCAGGAGCTTCTTCCAGGTCTCCCAGTGGGGAGCAGCTGGGATACCCATATAGGATCCTGATGCAATGCAAGGCAAGGATTTTAGGCATTAGGTTACTATGTACCAGGCCCTGGGTGGTTTAAATTTTAAAATTAGTTATTGTCTGAAAGAACGAGGGTGAGAGCAGGGTGTGGGTTTTGTCTGCTGTCTCACTCCCCAGATTGCCCCCAAACAGCTGTGTCTGAGCCAGGCCAAAGCCAGGAGCTTCCTCAGGGTCTCCCACAAGGGTGACAGGAGCCCCGGGACCTGCGTTGTCACCGCTGTCCTCCCAGGCACATGAGCAGGGAGCTGGACCAGAGCAGAAGTGGGCCTCCAGCCAGCATTACAGTAGGGAGTACAGACACTGCAAGTGACAACTTAACCAACTGCGTGAGAACGCCAGCCCTGGAAGTCTGCCTTCAGGTGCCTCACTTTGATGTTCAGCTGCCATGCCCGGGAGTACCCTGCAGCTGCAGCCTCTGCACTGGTTCACTCCACACTGAGACTCCCTCCAAGGTGCTCATTGGAGGGGTCACTGCCGTGGTGCCACAGATTAATCCTCCACCCTTTGATTAATCACATGCACGTGCTATTCATGTCCCGGCTGCTCCACTTCCTTCCAGCTCCCTGCCTGTGGTCTGGGAAAGCAGTCGAGGACGGCCCAAAACCTTGGGACCCTGCACCTGTGTGGGAGACCCAGAAGAGGCTCCTGGCTCCTGGATTCAGATCAGTTCAGCTCTGGCCATTGGAGCCACTGGGGAGTGAACCAGTGGATGGAAGATCTTTTCCTCTGTCTCTGTAAATCTGACTTTCCATAAGAATAAGTAAATCTTACAAGAAAAGGAAAGAGAAGAAATAGAGCAATTGGGACACCAGCCAGTGCGTGTATGAGATACTGGCGTTGCAGGCGGCATGGCACCAGCCCCTGTATATATTTTTTGAATTTAAATATTTTTTTAATATATATTTTTTGTTTTAAAAACAAAAAAAGCAAAAACCTTTTTGTTTGAGGTTTTGTTTCTCAAAGCAGCCGCTAAGCAGGGGTTAAGAAGTGGACGGAGAGGCCCTTCCCTGTGGGCAGGGAGGCTCCGTGCCGTGAGGCCGCCTCTGCCACCCGCCTCTGCCACCCGCCTCTGCTCCATCTCCACAGACTTCATGAATGTCTACTACCAGATCCGCTCCAGCCAGCTGGACCGTTCCATCAGGGGCCTAAAGGAGCATTTCCGGAAGAGCAGTTCCTCCTCGGGGGTCCCCTACTCCCCTGCCGTCCCCAACAAGAGGAAAGACACGCCCACCAAGAAGCCAGCCAAGCGGCCAGGTGAGCCCCTGCTGGCCCATCTGAGGAGCGGCCACGAGGCTGCCTGGGCCCCGGCTACTTCCGTCAGGCTCCTGGGGTGCGCCCTGGTGGCTGCCCCAGCTGTGAAGGCACTGGCCAGACTGCCAGGCTCTGGGCAGTGATGTCAGGGGGCAGGGCAGGGGTGGAGCAAGAACAGGTGGACAGCTGTCTCATCCTTTGGCAGCTGGCCAGGGCAGAGCCACCTGCTGGGCACACTGCTGCTCCAAAACAATGGGGCTGGAGAGGGGGCGGGCCCTCTAGTCTAGGCCTTCCAGTAAGCCAGGGCCACTTCTAGCGTGATACTGCTGGCAGGTGGGTGGGGATCTCAGAAGAACTGAGGTAGTGGTTTGTGGTGAAAAAGCCATCCCGCAGGCCATGCGGGCAGTGGCCTGGGCCGTGGGTTGTCAGGGTCGGGCCGGATGGTTCATCGTCTGTGTTTCTGGTGTCACCGTGTGCCCATAGGTTGGGCTCCAGAGAAAGTGTCTCTGTGTGTCAGCCATGGAGTGGCAGGCCCTGCTGTCCCTGGTTGTTGGGAAGGGCCATCCAGGGTGCTGCAGCCTGGAGAACCCAGGTGTAGTGACCGCAGGCTTTGGGGAGACACCCCCATCTCTCCAGGCCCTGCCTCCCTGCGCCTCTGAGAACCAGCTGTCTAGGCCCGCAGGGAACAAGTGTGGGGCCTTGGGCCTTGGGTTAGGGTTTGGAGAACCTGCTTGGTCAGGTGGAACCACCGAGTAGAGGCTGGCATGGGGGGGGGGGTTGGCAGGAAGTCCTGCCCCCTACCTATTGTGTGAAAGCCCTGGCCGCCTCCCCTACTGCACACCATGATTGCTAACCTGGCCTACTGAGCTGCGACTGCCGGCGCAGCTGCTGGTCTACCCTGCCTGTCACACATGGCCACAGGCTGTCCCCATGAGGCTGCCAGGGCTGCTTGGGCCCAAGCGTTCTTGTGCTGTGTCCTCTGCTGCCTTGGACTTGGGTGGGCTCACTGGTTGTACCAGAACCCGCCTGCATGACTCCCGGGGTGCTCACGGCCATGGTGGGGGGGTGGTGACTATTCCAGGAGGAGGGGTCTGCAGGCGTGTTCACAGTGAGCTGATCTGTCCTTGGCCCCAGGCCCGAGGGCAGGACCCTGTTCTGCTGCCAGAGTCCCTGAGTTGGCAGGAGCTGGTAGGCTCAGGGGTGCAGCTGGGAACCAGTGAAGACCCTCTGACGACGTCAGCTCTGTCCCTGGTAGTTGGATGCTGGTGATCAGCACCCCCATATTCCCTCCATTTAGCCACTGGCCCACCTGCTCCTGGTCATCGTTGGGCCAGGAATGGGGTCGGTTGCTTAGCCAGGCCTGCCCAACAAAGCGGAGGTCGTAGGGGGCCAACGGGAGCCATGCCTGGCCAGCATGGCAACCAGTTGTGAGTGGCGACATGGACTGGCTGGCAGTGAGCCCCTCTACACAGCCTGCCGTGGCCACCTGCGCCCAGGCACAAGGGAGGGCAGGAGCCGGGGGCGGGGGAAGACTGCCCAGCATGAAGGCCCGCCGCCTCCTCCCCTAGGCCCACGTGTGCGCAGGGCAGCCGTCCAGGTCTGCTTGGTGAGCTGGCTCGTGTCCTAGGATCCGTGCCCTGCGATGACTCTTTCCCACCGCGGGGCCGTCCCCTGACCCCCGAGGCCGGGGCCACAGTTTGGTCGTGATTGTTTGCCTGTGTGACACTAACCGTTGTTTTTTCCCCCCCACACCAAGAGCACATCCCCTCCTCCCCTGCTCTCCTCTGGGCTCTCTCTGTGGTGGCTTCTGTTAAGCTCTGCTGGGCTATGGACTCGCTTTGGTGGCTCGGGGCACCCATCGGGTGTGGGAGGCCCCTCCCGGGGAGCTGCGTCTACTCCCAGCTGCCAGGGGCTCAGGCTTGGCCACTTGCCAGCGCTGGGAGGACTCGGCCTGGGCTTTGGGGCGCCCTGGGCCCTGCCCACCCCGTGGCGCTACTCCGCAGCATTTCTCATTTTCACCTTTTCCTGGTGGCCCTTGGTCCACCTCCGGTGCCCTCTGCACCCCCTAAAATGAACTCGATTCCAGAACAGCGAGAGCCTGTGGTGGTACCAGAGCTCCGCAGCACAGACGCGGCAGTGTCTGTCCCCCGTGCCGAGCCTGGGGCTGCTGGGAAAGGCGCAGGGGCGGGCGTGGGCCGGGCAGGTGGAGGGCCGCTGCCGTGTTCTCTCACTCGTTTCCCAGGTCTTCTTATCTCTTCTCTGTGTGGCTCTGGTGACAGGGACGATCCGGAAGGCTCAGCACCTTCTGAAACAGTATTCCCAGCATGGTCTAGATGGGAAAAAGGGGGGCTCTAACCTCATTCCTCTGGAAGGTAATCACCCCACGCTCCCTCCCTCTCCACTCCATCCACTGTATGTCTCCTCCCTCGGCAGGGCAGAGCTTCCCGCAGGAGGGCTGACCCCGAGAGGGACAGGGTGGGAAAGGCAAGTCCCTGCGGCCGGCAGGCTTCCACGGGCACAGGGACAGGTTCCGGGGCCCTGGTCCCGGCTGGCTGACGGCAGCTCTGCCCTCCCCGAGGTCTCCCGCTCCCCTCCCTCTCTCTGTCCTGTCCCCTGTGTGACTCAGAAGGTTCCTTTGTCTTAGGGCAGCCCTTTCACGCCCAGACCGGCTGGGGTGGTCCCCCTGGCCCAGGCCTGTGAGCCACAGCCCTCCTGAGCAAGGGGAGAACGTGCCCGCAGGGGGCAGGTGCCTGGAGGCCGTGGCTCTTTCTCACTTTTCCCTGGGAGTCCTGGGCCCAGGGCACGAGCAACCAAAGGCTGCTCAGGCACCAGCTGCAAGTCAGGCTTGAAAGGGCTGTTCCCATGGTGGTCGGAGGCAGCCGAGGGGCTCAGAGCCCTCCCCGGGGCCCTTGCCCCGTGGCCCGTCTCACGTCCCCCCTCTTGGAGATCAAGGGCTTCTTCCCTGTACCCTGAGGGGCAGCCCCCCCAGCCCCTGGATAAACGCTGCTTGTGTTTGTGCGGCCGACGTCTCGCTAGGTCACGAGCATGATTTCCGAGTTAAGCACCTGTCCGAGGCCCTGAACGACAAGCACGGGCCGCTGGCCGGTGAGTACCGCAGCCCAGCCGAGGGCAGCCGCCACCGCCGCCCCTGCAGCCGCCCTCGAAGCCGGCTCCTGCCAGGCCCCGCTGGGCACTCTGCTCCGAGGACGGCCAGGCCTGCTCGCCTCTCACCTCTTGCTCTGATCTCTTTCTCTCTCTGTCTCTCCTGTGAGCACTAAGTCTCCTTGCCTTTCTGCAGATGGGAATGCCACCCAGCCCTCAGGGCCTGAGCTAGGGGAGAGGCAGGCAGAGGGCAGGTGGCCCCGCTGAGGGCAGGGAGCCCCGAAGCATGACTCCTGGAGCAGCTACGGCACCCAACTCCTCAGAGCGGCTCCCTCGGCGCAGGCCACTGGTTTGGCCTGTAGGCACCCGCACCGGTCCCCAGGGCTCAGCCACAGGGCCCCCCCACTCTGGGGTCATTGTCTCTTCTCACATTTTGACCCCATCCCCACCTGAGCCAGCCTCCCTCACAGCCCAACACCCAGTTGTATGTTCCAGAAGGCCTGCGGGGCTGCCAGCAGCCTCCCCATGCCCAGTCACCTCGCATGGATAAGCACAGTGCCACTCTTTGAGGGGGTACTGCCACTAGCCCAGCCGGGGCCAACTCCTGCAGGAACAGGTCACAGACACTCCTGAGCCAGGAAGTGGACAGAGGGCACTCCCCCAGGCTCCCGTCCTCTGCCCTTCTCCCACCCTTCTAACATCTAGTGCTCTGGGGACCTAAGTCCATTTGCGCAGAGCTGGAAGGTGAATCCAGGCCCCAAGCTGGACTCAGCTCTCTTCTTCCCCTCCAGCCCAGGCGGGCCCACAGAGCCCTTGCGGCTTGCTGCCCCTTTCCCGGCTGCTTGGGGCCATGGACCAGAGGCTGGGGAGACCCACACCTCCCCCCTCTGCCCTCAGCGAGGAGAGTGGGTGCCCCCGGCCCAGTGGCTCAGGGACACTGCCGTCCCCCCAGGGAGAGACGACGTGCTGGACGTGGAGACGGACGCCTACATTCACTGTGTCAGCGCCTTCGTCAAGCTGGCCCAGAGCGAGTACCAGCTGCTGGCCGACATCATCCCAGAGCACCACCAGAAGAAGACCTTCGACTCCCTCATCCAGGTCCTGCCTGCCTGCCGGCTACCCGGGGCCCTGACCGGCGGGAGCCAGGGGTCGGGGGAGAAAGGCAGGTTGGCCCTGGGAAGCCCCCTCCGGCCCTGTGCTGAGCTGGAGCCCTGCCCTTGCTCAGGACGCACTGGACGGCTTGATGCTCGAGGGGGAGAACATCGTGTCAGCTGCACGCAAGGCCATCATCCGGCACGACTTCTCCACGGTGCTCACCGTCTTCCCCATCCTGCGCCACCTCAAGCAGACCAAGCCCGAGTTCGATCAGGTGCTCCAGGTATGCGTGGCTGCCCCCAGCCCTGGGAGAACCCCCTCCATGGCCCACAGCTGCTGCTACAGGGCCCCACAGGAGACTGAAAAAAGTCAGCCCCCAAGGTGTGGGGCATGGAAGGTGCTGGAAGGAGGGCGGGCCAGCAGGGCTCTGGCCAGGGCTACAGAGGTGTATGTGTGTATGTGTGTGTGTGTGCGTGCTTCCTTAGGGCACGGCTGCCAGCACCAAGAACAAGCTGCCCAGCCTCATCAGCTCCATGGAGACAGTAGGAGCGAAAGCGCTGGAGGACTTTGCCGACAACATCAAGGTACCTGCTCTCCCTCCTTCCGGGACTCCCGCCCAGCCAGGGAATGGGTGGGAAACAGGCCAGACGGCTGGACTGTATCCCATCAGCCTCTGAGTCCGAGGGGCGTCCTTACGCTCGCCTGCCAGGAGCTGGTGCCACTGTGGGCAGCTGTGTCTGGGAGCTGAGGACTGTTTTATCCGCAGAATGACCCAGACAAGGAATACAACATGCCCAAGGATGGCACAGTGCATGAGCTCACAAGCAACGTAGGTGCCCTGCAAGGACCCCCGTGGAGGGAGGGAGGAGAGAGGGGGGACCCCGGCCTGGCCCCAAGCCACTCGGGCATGGGGGCTGGGGTGGCAGGATGGACAGCCAAGTGCCTGGCATCTCAGCAGACAGCCCCTTTGTGGGCAGCAAGGCCCACGGCGTGAAAGCTGGCAGCTGTGCTTGGCACTGGGTGGAGGCTGGAGGAAGGAAGCAGCCTGTTGCTGCACTGACCTGCCCCCTGTACCCGTGCTCTCCCAGGCCATCCTCTTCCTGCAACAGCTTCTGGACTTCCAGGAGACCGCAGGTGCAATGCTGGCCTCCCAAGGTACTTGGCACTCTCAGCTGGGTAGCCCCTGTGCCGCCTACTCTTGCCCGGGAATGTGGGGGAGTCCCCCCAGGAGGTGATGACTGAGGAAGCTCCCCCAACTCGTAGCCTGGGTTTGAGAGTGGCTGGTGGAGGCCCCGGCTGCTGGACCATCCCAGGCTGAGCACCTGCAGAGCAAGGTTGGCCTATGCCCTTGGTGAACAGACTGCCACCCCAGTGTGGCAGGTCATTGCAAGCACTGAGCACCTTCCCCTGCCATGGGGGGGACAGGGAGCTGGCTGTGGCTGTCTGGACCCCCACATGCCAGTGTCTCCCCTGCTTCAGAGGGCCCAGCTGGCGTGGGGAGCAGTCTGCCTGACAGGGTCCTGGACCGCATCTCTAACCTATGTTTGCACTTGCGTCTCTCTCCCTCTTGCCTCTCGCTCTGTCCCCTGCGTGCACTGCTCTCACTCCATAGTTCTTGGGGACACATACAATATTCCTTTAGACCCCCGAGGTAAGCCGTGCGGCTCTACGGCCCCGAGGGTGGCTCCCTGGGGACTGCTCTCAGCACCTGTGGGGGGTGGGGGTCCTGTCGTCTCTCAGCCCCTTTTGTGGCCACTCTGTCTCTGAGCTTACCTGCGCAGCACCTGCTGTGTTTTGCACCCTGGATACGCCCTTCACCCTACTCCATGGGACAGCAGAGGGGTCTGGTGGGGGGAGGAGCTAGAGAAGCTGTGGCAAGCCGTCTCTGGGCGTGGCTGATGGCCAGTGGGGAAAGCGGGGACTAGTTAGATCCCACCCGACAGGCGGCATGGTTGGAGGCCAAGTCTGGATCCCATCCCCACTCCCTCACCCTGGTCCTCCCAGCCTTCCCGCTGCATGACCTGCTCCTTAACCACACTGTCCATTATGACCAAGGGGAAGTCCTGGGGTCTAGAAGCAGCCCCGGGACAGCGCTTCCTGTGGCTGGGGCAGCTCCAGAGCTCTGATACCCAGCCTCGCAGGGACACCCCTGGGTCCTGCTCGACCAGCAAGCCTCAGGCTGCCCCTGCTGGGCGGGGGACCTCCAGGCCTCGGCTACTGCCCCTACAGTGACCAGCTTCTCCTCCTACAGAGACCAGCTCCTCTGCCACCAGCTACAGCTCCGAGTTCAGCAAGCGGCTGCTCAGCACCTACATCTGTGAGTTCCTTTTAGTACAGCGCACCGTCTCCCGCCCCACATGCCCGTAGGAGCCCTCTGACCTTGGTGGCTGTGACCTGTGCTCCAGTGCAGGGCCCAGGGGCAGCAGGCAAGGCCTCCTGAGGCCCCCCAGCCTCTGAGTCAGGGGAGCAATGGGGGGTGCTAGTCAGTGAGTCGTGAGACTGGGCCCCCTTCCCCGCACAGGCAAAGTCCTGGGAAACCTTCAGTTGAACTTGCTGAGCAAGTCCAAGGTGTACGAGGACCCCGCTCTGAGTGCCATCTTCCTGCACAACAACTACAACTATATCCTCAAGGCCCTGGAGAAGTGAGTGCCACAGGGGCAGGTCCTCCCGGGGCTGGCTGCGCCCCTTGGCGCCTCTGGGGTGGGGCTGCCACCTCGGCACTGGAGGATAAGGTGGGAGGGGACACAGAGGCCAGGGGCCTTGGGGGACCTGGAGGCCAGGTCTGTCTTGTCTCCACCTTCCCAGGTCGGAGCTGATCCAGCTGGTGGCTGTGACCCAGAAGACCGCCGAGCGTTCCTACCGTGAGCACATTGAGCAGCAGATCCAGACCTACCAGCGCAGGTGCGGCCCCAGCCACGGTGGGCTCCAGATCCTGGTGGCCACAGCCCCCAGAGTCCCCATGCCCCACATGGCTCAGTGCATTCCTCCTCAGGGCCTCCACAGTGTGAGGTCAGTGACAGGGAACTGCTCCTTCATGGCCCCACCCTTATGCTTGGTCTTCTATCAACCGCCTGCTCCCTGTGGCTGGCCGGGAGGACATGAGGGGCCAACACTGACAGAGGTGTGGGTCAGGCATAGCCCCAGACCGGCAAGGGTGCAGGGGCCCTGGAACTCGCTCTCTGATTCCCTAGCTTTCTTCTTGGTCTGTTTTCTCTCCCCATTCCCTCCTTTCTTTCCCCCTTATTTCTCTGTCTCTTAATTTCTGTGACATCTATGCCAGCTCTAGAAGAGATGTTTGTCCCATTGTAGGGTCGCTGTGGGTGTCCTGTGCTTGACTTGCAGCGAGTATCTTAAGCTCTCTTCCCAAGTAAGAGATCTTGATCGGCTTAGCAGCAACCCTGATCAGTTCCGCACTGCCCCATCCCCTGGTAGAGCAAGAGGTCTAACAGAAACAGCCAGACTTGTGCCTGGGGGGCAGCAGCGGCCCATGGCCGCAGCCCCTCTCATGCCTCGCTCTCTGCCTGGCAGTTGGCTGAAGGTCATCGACCACATTGCGGACAAGAGCCTCCCTGTGCTGCAGCCAGGAGCCAAGGTGGGGAGCAGCCCGCTGTGGGGAGCGGCGGGTCGTCGGGGCAAAGCTGAGTGAAACAGAGAGGGCTGGGAATGCAGGGATGGGCGGAAGGGCGACTGCTCTGAGCAGAGCTATCCCTGTCTCCCTCCTGTCCCCCACCCCACGCAGCTCCGCGACAAGGAGCGGCAGATGATCAAGGAGAGATTCAAGGTGAGTCGGGGTCCCCTCCCTTCCACTGCTGCCACTGCCACCGCCTCTGCAGTGACACAGCCCCAAGCACGGCCTCTGCTTCCCTGTCCTTTCCTCCTTGGTGGTGGTCAGGGCTTCAACGACGGCCTTGAAGAACTGTGCAAGATCCAGAAGGCCTGGGCTGTTCCGGACATGGAGCAGCGGGACAAGATCCGCCAGGCACAGAAAACCGTTGTCAAGGAGACCTACGCGGCCTTTCTGCACAGGTGGGCCACCCTCCCAGGCACCCTCAGCCCCTGCTGGCCACTCCTCCCCCCCCCCCAGCCTGGCTCCCACTCTCCTCTCTCTCATAAAGCACGGGGTGGCTAGCAGGTGGGAGCCCTGGGCCGTGAGGCTTCCAGCTGGCCTGACTCCAGCACCTGGTCAGGTATGGCAGCGTGCCCTTCACCAAGAACACGGACAAATATATCAAGTACCGCGTGGAGCAGGTGGGCGACATGATCGACCGCCTCTTCGACACCTCGGCCTGAGCCTGCCGCCCCAGACTGGCTGCGTCCTTGGATAGATAAACCAGTGTTAACTTGACTCTGGGCCGGGTGAAGCTCAAGTCCTTTGACACAGACCTTTTACCATGCCCCTGCGGAAGCGCATCCCTAAGCCCTGTGGCCCTGACTTCTGTGCCATGCTGGGACAGCAGGGCTACCTCTGACTTTGGGTTTTGTAACCTCCCCCCGACCCCGCACTGTACCCTCAGGGAGCACCCAATGGCTGTGGAGCAGGAAAGGGGAGAGGAGGACGAAGGAGGTTCTCTGCCCTGCGCAGCCCGGCACACTGCTGGAAGCATGAGGGATGCGGCGGGGATTCTGGCCCACCCTGTGCCATCCAGCACTGGGGCCTCCTCCCTGGGGCCCAGCATGGGGGTTGCAAGAATGGTGGCCATCAGTGGAAGTTCAGCAGCCAGGGTGGCCTTGGGGCCCCACTTGCTTGCACTGGGAGTAAATGGCTGAGCCGAATGAAGACAGGCCCTTGTAATGTACTTGCACTCAAAGGACAGGTTTATTTCACACTACACATATGTTCACCCAAGGCAGACTTGAGGGGGTCCCCCTCCCCTCTCTCCTGAGACCATGCCCAGGCAGGCCCCACCCCCCCAGCCTCAGGAACCCACTCTTTGTCCTGAGATCAGCTGCTCCAGGCCACCATGCCACATGCTGGGCTGCCCACCGTGGGGGCCGTCCATCCCAGGGGGTGGGTCTGACTTGCATGTTGCCCATATCCAGATGGCAACAAAGATGACCTGGGTACACAGCACGCTGGCGACATACACAAGGAAGAAGACGTGGTCAGCTGCCTCAAGCCGCTTCCTCCTGGACCCCTCTCCTCCTCTGCGAGGGTCTGCAGGGAAAGGCAGGGTGAGGAGCTGTTGCCCAGGGCCCCGCAGAGCCGGGGCACGAGCCCAGTGCTCCTGAGCGCATGCGCTCCTTCTTTGGCATGCACAGTGTGGGCCTGGCCCATAATGGCCACCTGGAGCCCAGGGGCGGGTGAGCCAGGGGCGTGAGTACAGAGGGCATCTCAGCATACATAGGCCTCGCGCCCAGCTCTGCCCCTGCCACCCCGAGCCTGCTCCAGGCCTTGTCCCTCACCAACCACCCGGTCCCAGCAATCCCCTGCACCTTTCGTGTCAGGCTCCGGGGCTGGGCTGGGGCTATGCCCGGCCCTCAGGGTGTCCCGGGCCAGCATCCCCGCCAGCAGCACGGTCTCCACGGTACTGAGCAGGAGCAGCAGCAGCAGGATGGTGAAGAAATAAGCTGTGTGATGGCAGGGATGGCACATCACGGGCCTGGCAGCCAGACAGAGCAGGCCTTCCCTGGCACCAGAGAGGGAGCAGGCTTACTGAGCAGTGGGTTGCAGGAGGAGGAGCTGGGCAGGCCGTGCACCAGCGAGGAGTGGAAGACGAGATAGCCCAGCAGCAGCGTCACTTTGTAGGCCATACGTTCAAAGGCCTGCAGGGGTAGCAGCCCCCCGCACATGTCCGCCAGCAGCAAGCCCTCACCGGGGACGATGAGAGCTATGATGGACTTGAGCGCTGTGTTCCGCAGGCTCAGCTGGAAGGAAGCCAGGATTTCGGGGAGGAGGTAGGGGGCTGGGGTAAGCCCCTCCACTTCTCAGCTCTGTCCATGGCCCCCCGCGCCTGACCCCAACTCACCGTCACCTGGAAGCAGGGCACCAGCTGCTCTTTTAGGACCTGGGTTTCTACAGCGTCAACCACATACTCCCTCTTGATACTCACAATCTCATTTGTCACTTGGACCTGGAACTCCAGCTCCTTCACTGCAAGGGGTGGGGGCAGTGAGCTAGCCCAGAGCTCCCCTGCCCTTGGTCACTCCAGGCAATAGAAGCAGAACCCACCGGGGGCCGGGGGGACAGAGGCTGTCTAGCTGCTCAGGGGGGCCGTCAGTTTCCCTTCCATGGTGAAGGGGTCTGACAGGGAAGGATGGGGTTCCTATAGCAGCTTCAGTGACACCTGCTGGGGCTGTGGGATGCCTACCAAGTGGCTGCTCCTTCACGCTGCTTCCGGGAATGACAGCACAGCGGTCAAGCCCTGCAGACTTTCAGCAAGTGTCCCAGCCACTGCCATCTGACCCTGCTGTGTGTCACTGCTCTGGGGCACAGGGAAGCCCTGAGGCTACAGCCCTAGAGGAAGTGAAAGTGCAGCTGAAGGTAGGGCGGCTCAAAAGGGCTGCTGTCTGGGAGGTGAAAGTGGACTGCACATGCTGCTCTCCTGTGTGTTCAGTAACCCTTCCCCCAGGCCTGGGGCAGCCAGCGGTGGGCAGAGCCAGCCTTGGGCCAGATGCCCAATGGAGGCCAGGAGTGTGCTACCCTGTCTGTACCAGAGTTGCTAAAAACGAAGAAGCTGAGGTTGCAGCTGCTCTGGTCCCTGGGGAAGTGCAGGAGCTCAAAGTCGCAGTTGGCCTCAGTGGTAAGAGCCAGGTTGACCTCCACGTGGCCGTCCTGGCCCACTGTGGCCTGCGGGTTCTCGTCCTTCCAGTCTGTCCAGAGCCTGTAGGGGAAGCCAGTACAACCAGAGACCCGGCCTGGGGCAAGGGCAACACTGGAGTCCGGGGCCCAACCCCACTGGCTTCCTGTGGGCAAGGTGGGCAGGAACGGGGGGCATGCCCACAACAGGGGGAGTGCTTACAGAGCTGACTCTTTGCCAAGCAAGCCTCAGCTGTAACACTGTGTCCCCGACACTAGAACTCCTGCCCCACTTACGCTTCCCGGATGGAGAGTTCAGGTGTCCACAGCAAGTTCGTGGGCAATGTGACAACTTTCCGTGAGTACATGGTGCCATTCCAGGCCAGGCGGGCATCCAACCAGGCCTGGGAACAAAAGGATGCCACTGGAGCTGCTGGTCACACATGCAGGACCCTCAGCCCAGCAAATGCCAATCCTTGCCACTGGACTGGCTGCACATTTCCATCCCACCTGCCCCTGGGTGAGGCTCACCAGACGGAGCATCAGCACGTAGGACACGGTATAGCGCAGGATGTCCTGTGAGAGGGAAAGAGCCCATCAGGGGGCAGGACACCCCAGCACAGGCCGAGGACGAGTCCCCCCCAACCACCCGACAGCACTTACCACATTAAACACGTTGGACACGAACACATGTGCACTCACGAGCAGGGGAGCACTCCCATTGCTAGGGATCTGGATGACTTCCTGCTCCTCCACACCTGAGATGAGGTCAAGGGGGACAGCCAGATCGAGAGGACAGAGGTCACCCTCCCCCAAGGGCCAAAGTCCCAAAGTTCACAACCTCGCACCCTCTACCTACCCACTGCAAGCACTCTGAAGTTGGGCCCCTGAACCAAGGGCCCGATGCTGCCAAGCCCAAGGAGGGCAAGATGGAGCAGGAACCTCAGCCCCATCACCTGCGCCACAGGAGCAGCTGTGCCTGATCCCAGTCACCTCCCTGTGGATGTGTAGCTCTTCCCCTCAGGGACCCTGGGGCCTTGGCTTTAGCACTCCTTCGTCCCAGTTCCGCAAATACCCCAAGACAAAGCTCAGGACAAAGCTCCGCCCACCCTGCACCTGGCCCCGTCCTGCTCCACTTCCACCACCTGGAACTTGCTGGCGTGTTCAATGCCTGTTGGGGAGTAGGCAGGCCCAGGGCCTCCACCTCATCCCCTGACTTGGCCCCTTTTCATCCACGGCTGGAACCAGCCTGGCTGAGTCCCCAAGCCGATGGCCACAGTATCCTGCGCTTGGTGAGGTGAGATAAGGACATTTGGGAATGTCCATGTCTGTCTTTAAACTTGGAGCCGATCTTACGTGAAGAGCCTCAGGGAAGGGTTGACTCCAGGATAGGTAGGGGCGCTTGTGAGCAATGTTCTGGGACATTCCTCTACCCTAGCCAGGCAGTAGCTTAGACTTGCTGCTGTGGCCACGGTACAGACCCTCTCCACACATCCCTGTCTGGGAGGAGAGAAAGGCAAAAACAGACATTGGGACCTCTACCCAGCCATAGCCAGGAAGGAAAAGCCAAGGACCAAGGAAAGCAGGAGAACAGTAATCTGACTTCCAGTGGACTGGAAGCCTGCAGGACGGTCACATGTACCATCACAGACTATCAAAGGCCCTCAGACCCACTGCCTGCCTCCACTGCACATGCTGGCCGCCAACTGGGCGATTTTTGCATCGCCAGCCCTTCCAGATGACCACATGGAAAGAGCAGCCCACACTCTCCAGCCTCAGGGATTTTACCTGGATGTGTTTTAATATATAAATTTTACTTTTTATAATGATGACATTGTGGATCAGAGTGGGAAGGATCAAGGTTTAGGGCAAACTGGGTGAACTCATTGATTCCAAGTTTGCTATTTCTTGTTCTTGGGGAAAGGGGAGAGACAAAGGGAAAACCACTCACGACTTTCCACATGTCCCGGTACCCAGGGATGAGGAAACACCACCTCATATCAACCCAGAGTCTCAATGTGTACATATTCCGAGAGTTCTGTCCAAGTGATTTGAATGGTTCTGAAATGCTGCCTATTTCACCGGTCCAATGATAATGTCACCCTCCCAATGTCCAGTGGTTCCATTCACCAAGATTTTTTGCTGTCATCATTTTGTTTGGAGTAGTTGTCCAGTTAGCTCTGTTCTGCTACAGCACCAAATGAGCTGCCTTATTCTCTTACAATGGGGCCTGTGTCCACTGCTCTGCCTTTTTCATTAGTAGGAGACGTTCTTGCAGATGAGTCCAAAGACCCAGGACAGGCATCCCAAGCCCTGCCAGATACCCCACCCCTGGGGCTCATGTACCCAACACTCACCTAAAAGGTGGGCCCCAGGATCTAGGCCAGGCAATCCAAGCCCTACTGGTTCCTCCATCTCTGGGACTCACGAACCTCCCCCCAACCCTGGGCCCAGGCTGGCGTGACTTGCCTCACCTCAGGTCCACAACTTTATTGTGCAGCCTGGCTTAGTCTAGTCTTTCCCCTGCTGATGGGTGCTGCAGCCTATTCTAGCCCAGTCTGATTACTATCCCAGTCCTAATGTAAACTGGCTGGTGTTGCAGTCTGATCTGGCTCCTCCTGCCCCCTGCCCTGGTTCTCAGATCTGCCAGTGGGTGTTCTATGCTAGCCCAGACTGGTCTGTCCCCAGACCTGACCCACATGTACACCGGCGAGTACTGTAACCTGACGTCTGGGCCGCTCCTTACCTTGCTTCTTGAGCTCACCTGCAGGAACTGCATCCCAATGAAGGAGTTTCTCCATTGAGTCTCCTCCCAGTGGAAGTTCTCACGCACACCCATGGGTCATTGGTCCAGGCTGACTTTGTCCATCTCCTGCCCTGGCAAGATCTGGCCACACCCATTCTGGTTCTTGTTGGTTGTTGCAGCCCAGTGATATCTGGTCTGCGCTCAGACACAGCTTTCACGTGGTTCAGCGGGAGTCAAAACCTAGCCTGGCCTATTCTACACCCAACCTGGCTCTCACAAGTACCAGTGGGGGACTGGAGTCTAGCCCAATCTGTCGCTCCACAGTCCCAGAGCACAGCCACACCGGTGCAGGCTGTAGCCATGTACAGCCAAGCCTACTGTCCCCAGTCCTATTCTCATCCTCACCAGTAGGAACACCAACCCAGTTGGGGTGCCCCTTAACTTCCCAGCAGGCCTGGCCCCATCTGCAGTTCCCACATGGTGACACGTAGAGGCCCAGCACAGAGACCAGGGGATTGATGCAGGAGTTGGTGTAGAGGACCAGGTATGAGATGCACAGGTGGTGAATGTGAGGAGGAAGAAGTGGAACCACTCACATGATGAGCATGGTGGGACAGAGGCATGGTCACCATGATGGTCATTCCATCACCTTGTGCTTGGCTGACCCTGCTGTCCCAGAGTCCATGGCGTGGCCCAAGTAGCTCAGAGTGCATGCTTGTGGGCCAGGCCAAGAACTGGCACCGGCTGCAAGGAGCTAAATATGAAGGTGCAGAGCTCCATGACAGGCTGGGTGGCCCTGGTCAGGTGGGCCAGCTGCGACTGGCAATAATAGCTTAGGTAGGACCCTGTGTGGAGCAGAGCCTTCCTCGGGTGACCCCAAAGGCCGCTAACGCATTGAGAGGTGTGTGCAGCTCCCCCATGCAGCAGGTAGCAGTTGGCCAGACACCTGGGGGTCAGGTCTGAGAGGGAGACTCAGGATCAGGCAGCAAATGTACTTCAGGCCCTACACTCGCTGTCCAGGAAGGCCTGCAGCACGAGGTCACACTGCACCCACTGTGAGGTATGGGGCAGACATCTGGATCCAAACATACAGCTGAACGCAGGGGCAGCGTGGGGACCCCATCGCCAGCATCTGACCCTCCTGGACTGTGGCCACAGATCCCACGTGGGGCAGCACCCCAAAGGCGTGGAGGGCTGGGCATTAGACAGTCAGCTATAGGGCCCCTCGGAGAAGACAGGCAGGAAAAGATTCGGGCAAGTCAGGGGCATGTGTGGGCTTGGACCATGGCTCAGTGCCAGTGGGAGGTGTTTGGAAAGTGGGGTATCCCCTGGCTGCTCTTCCCTGGAAGGGAGATGGGGAGCAAATACCGGAGTCAGACCATCATTTGCTTCCCCAAGGGTCATCATAGTGTCCTTGAAGCTCCACCGGACTCCCCAAGGGGTGGCTGTCCTCACTCCTCACACCTCACCCGTCAGCACGAAGCACAGGTCTCCAGTGTGAGCCAGGGATCCCAGGCACAGTTGCCCGGACTTTGGCGGGGATCTGGAATGACTCAGGGTACGAAGATTTCTTCCAAATCTTGCTTTTGGTTGTTTTTTGGATCTATATATACCCAGAAGTTGCTCTGCTTTTTTGAAAAGATTCATTTACTTTCTATTTGAAACAGATCTTCCATCCCCTAGCTCATCCCCCCATGGCCACAACAGGCAGTCCCACACCTGTCCCAGCTGCTGCTTTCCCAGGTCATAAGCAGGGGGTTGGACTGGAAGTGAAGCAGCCGGGGCTTGAACCATTGTCCACGTGGGATGCTGACACTGCAGGCAGAGGACTAGCCTGCTTCCTCAGGTCGCCTGGACTTACGTTTCCCTAACGATCAGTGGTTAGAGATTTACCTTCGAATTGTTCACTCAGCTCCCTCATGGCCACCTCCACTGGATACCCGGGGAGTCTGCAGGGGGTCAGGACCACCAGAGTGGACTGACAGGGTCTGGAACCTCAGTACCCGCATCTCAGGGGATGCAGTGACCACCCCTCCCTGTCCCCTAAGTCCAGTGAAAGCCAAACGACCTGGGAAGGTGCCCGCCGTTGAGACACCCGCTTGGTGATACGCCATCAGCCCGGGAAAAAGAGCCGACGTAGGCGGGGGTCAAGGGGGGTCCGTCAGCAGCCTTCTTGCCCTCAGTGGACAGGCGGTGGGCTTGTCCCCGGCCCGGCTTTCCCGCGCCCCAAGTCCGGCTCCGCGTCCTTTCGGCCCCCCAGAGTCCAGCCTACGCGCAGGCGCGCTGCAACTTCAGCTCGGGCCTTGTGGACCGGCTGTCGGTGAGGGGGGGCGGAGTCCGCCACTATCCCATCAGCTCGGCCGGGCAGGTCCCGCTCTCTCCCGCCCCCGGGCCTCTCGCCTCCTCTCTCCCGTCCTGCTCTGCGGCGCAGGGGGAAGATGGCTGCCGAGAAGCAGGTCCCCGGCGGCGGCGGAGGAGGCGGCAGCGGAGGCGGCGGGGGACGCAGCGCCGCCGGGGAGGACAACAAAGAGAACGAGCGTCCCTCGGCCGGATCGAAGGCCAACAAGGAATTCGGGGACAGCTTGAGTTTGGAGAGTATCCTGACGGCCTGACTCGCCATGACGACGTGTCGGTCGGGAGGGCGGCGCGTCCAGGGGCCAGGGCGGCTGAGGGCTGCGTTTTCCCCTCTGCCTTGGGTGTGGGCGCTTGGAGTTGCGGGGATCCCGCTGCCCCGCGCCTGCCGGGTGCCCTGGGTGTGTTGGCAGTGACACGGGGGGCGTCGGAGCGGGGAGAAGGGAGCTGCAGAGCTGACTCTGGCTCGCGTGCGGCTGCCGTGGGCCGCTGGCTAGCCCCGGGCTGAGGGGCAGCTGTGAGCAGACAGCCGGTTGTCCACTTGGAGGGTCGATTCCTGCAGCCCGTGGGAGGTTTGGGGCCTCCTGTGGCCTGGGCTGGTGGACACGTGACGCCCCACAGCTGTTGAGGGAAGTTAGTGCAGGTGTAGAAAGTTGTCCACGTCATTGATTTTTCGTCTGCCGGTGCCTGAACGAGGGAGCTGCGGGGTGCAGGTGGGAGTCAGGGTTGCGCTGCAGTGGTTGGCATTTCGAAGCCAGGGCCTTGTGGGTATCCTTTCGGGGTTCGGGCTTGCCTGCACTGCCCTGGTTATTCGCTTGAGTGCTGTAACAGAGCTCAGCAGACTTGGCCCCTTCTTGTAAGAAGGTTGTAGAAAATGGCTACAGGAGCGTGCTAGCGAGTCCCCCAGGGCCAGCACGAGTTTGGGGCGTGGGTTGGGGTTCGCCGAGTCTGTGCCCTTCCTTGCGAGCTTTTCCTCAGCCCGCTGCAGTTCTGCAGATTGTTAAGGAATCGCAACAGCAGCATGGACTGCGGCATGGTGACTTCCAGCGGTATAGGTGAGTGTCTGGCTCGGGCAGTGGAAGCCACCTGGAGCTCTAGTGCCTGCCTTAAGGCCTACTTGCTCTGTTATATCTGTACATGTTCCTGGAAAGCCTAACACTAAATTTATATCGAGTCCTCAATTTAAATTTTTTTTTTTAAGTTGGGCTTGATGTGATAGCCTAGCAGCTAAAGTCCTCACCTTGCACGCACCTGGATCCCATATGGGTACCACGCCAGTTTGTGTCCCAGCAGCCCCACTTCCCATCCAGCTCCCTGCTTATGGCCTGGGAAAGCAGCAGAGGACAGCCCAAAGTCTTGGGACCCTGCACCCGCATGGGAGACCCGGAAGAAGCTCAGCTGCAGCTGTTGCAGCCGCTTGGGGAGTGAATCAATGGGCAGAAGATCTTCTCTCTCTCCTCCTCTCTGTATATCCACCTTTCCAATAAAAATAAAAAATAAATCTTTAAAAAAAATTTTAAGTTAACATATTATTTTTTTAAGATTTATTTTTATTGGAAAGACAGATTTACAGAGAGAAAGATTTTTCCATCTACCGGTTCAGTTCCTAAATGACCACCATGAGAGCTGAGCGGGTCAGAAGCCAGGAGCTTTTTCCAGACCTCCCATGTGGGCACAGCTGGGCCATCCTCTGCTGCTTTCCCAGGCCACAGGCAGGGAGCTGGGTGGGACACGGGGCAGCCGTGTGGGGTGCTGGTGCTGCAGCTGGAAGCTTTGCCACGACACCAGCCCCCACTCCCAGCCGCAGTTGTCCGGGCTGCCGTGGGGGTCCCCCATACAGTAGGCTCCCCCAGGACTCAGCCATTGTTTGCTCCTCCCAGCTGTATTACCAGGAAGGGGGAGCTGGGACTGGGATGGCACAGTGCCGTGGGTGTGGCGTCCCAAGTCGGAGCTCAGTCCCCGTACTGCAGCAGTAATCATTTTTTAGCTTAAACATGAACATGAAGTTCAATGCTTTTTGGTATTTTTAAATACTGCATGAGGAGGAGCCTCTGTGATGTTACAATTTGTTGACATCATAAAAATTGAAAAAAAAAAATTCTGTGACTGATTGCACATGCCTAGTACAGCACAGTGCATTGCTTGAGGGCAGAGATGCCGACTCGCTTCAATCTTGTAGGGGCTATGAGCTTGGACGACCCCGCCTTAACCACTGCAAAGACCTCTCCATCTCAGACTTTTATTTGTTCAGAAGCATTTAATGAACATGCAGCGTCCTTCTAGGCACTGGAGAACGCTAAATAACATGGGCGAAGGAACAGACAAAGCAACTTACAAAAACACCAGTGTTAGGACTGGTGCTGTGACGTAGCAGGTTACACCTCTGCCCTAGACACCAGCGTCCTGTGTGGATGCTGCTTCGAGTCCCGCCTGCTCCACTTCCCATGCACCTGGGAAAGCAGCAGAGGGACGGCCCAAGTCACCCACCTGGGTGGCACAAGAACTCCTGGCTCCTGGCTTCAGGCCACCCGAGCTCTGGCCATTGTAGCCTTTTGTGGAGTGAAGTAGCAGATGGAAATCTCTGTCTCCTTCCTCTGTCTCTGTAACTCTGCCTTTCAAATAATAAATAAACCTGAAGAAAGAAATATCATTTGTTTTAAAAAAAAGATCCTTTTGTTTGAGAGAGAAAGAACTCTGCCGTCTGCTTGTTTGTTTTCTAGATGCCCGTAATGGGCAGGGCAGGGCAGGGCAGAGGCCAGAGGCCAGGAGCTGGACTCTCCATCCCGGTCTCCCTGGGCATGGCAGGGACCCAGGCACCTGCCCTTGCCTGATGTCCCCCAGGGTGCACGTGTGCAGGAAGCTGGGGTTGGCATCCCAAGCAGCGGCTTGTCCCGCTGTGCTGAAAGCCCAGTGCTGGGCTGTGTTAAAGTCAGTGCCACACATCATAGCCTATTTCATTTTCTGTCTAAACAGATCTTTTAAAAAACATGAACAAAACATTGGTATCCCAGCTCCTGAAATTAATAGGAATTGTGTGTATAGGATATCAGTGATGTAGAAATATACTTAATCTTTTCCCTGATTTTCTCAGAATATCTTTACTTTTTAAAAAAATTTATTTGGGGGCCCAGCACCATAGCCTAGTGGCTAAAGTCCTCACCTTGCGTGCTCCAGGATCCCATATGGGCATTGGTTTGTGTCCTGGCTGCTCCACTTCCCACCCAGCTCCCTGCTTGTGGCCTGGGAAAGCAGTCAAGGACGGCCCAAAGCCTTGAGACCCTGCACCCACGTGGGAGACCCTGAAGAGGCTCCTGGCTCCTGGCTTTGGATTGGCTCAGCTTTGGCCATTGCAGCCACTTTGAGAGTGAACCAGTGGACAGAAGATCTTTGTCCTCTTTGTAAATCTTACTTTCTGTTAAAATCTTTTGTAAAAATTTATTTGGAACAATCAGGAATTTGGAGTAAGTTTTACAGAATGATAACAGGTCTGTTAGAGCTGTCAGATATTTTCTGGAACCTCTGAGCATAAACTGCCCACTTGATGTCCTTGCCGCCAAGTGCTGCGTGGGTCTGATGGCCAGTGTTCTCTTGCGGCAGTGTGTGGCACAGTGGGTCAAGCTGCCACTTGGGACACTTGCATATGCATTGTTGAGGTGGTTTGAGTCCCAGCTGTTGCCTTTCTGACGCACCTCCTCGGGTGCCTGGGGAGGTCGTGGATGATGGCGCACGTGTTCGGGCCTGCCACCCCCATGGGGTACCTGGACTCTGGCTTTAGCTTGGATCAGCCTTAGCTGTTAGGACCATTTGGGAAGTGAACTAGTGGGTGGGAGATTGTTTTTCTGTCTCTGTGTCACTCTTCCCTCCAAGTAAATAAGTCTTTCAAAAATTATAAAAAAAATTCTGCCAAAAAAAATTTTTAATTCTCGCACATAATTGCAATACTTGCTATCAAAAGCAGGAAATGGGCCAGTGCCATGGTGTGACAGGCTAAACCTTTGCCTGTGGTGCTCAGATTCTATATGGGCTCTGGTTCGAGTCCTGTTGGCCCCACTTCCCATCCAGCTTCTTGCTTATGGCCTGGGAGGAGTTGAGAACAACCCAAAAGCCTTGGGAGCCTGCACCTGCGTGGGAGAGCCAGAGAGGCTCCTGGCTTCGGATGGGCTCCGCTCACCACAGCGGCCACGTGGGGAGTGAGCCAGCGGATGCAAGTTTTCTCTTTTCTCTACAACTGCCTTACATACAGAAAAGAATTTCTTTCTCCAGAAGTTAATTTTTATTTTTATTGGAAAGTTAGAATTACAGAGAGGAAGAGAGGAATATCTTCTGTCCGCTGGTTCACTCTGCAAGTGGCCTCAGAGTACCAGAGCTGAGCTGATCCAAAGCCAGGAGCCAGGAGATTCTTCCATGTCTCCCACGTGGGTGCAGGGTCCCAAGGTTCTGGGCCGTCCTCGGCTGCTTTCCCAGGCCACAAGCAGGGAGCTGGATGGGAAGCGGGGCAGCCAGGACACAAAACAGCACCTGTATGGAATCCCGTCACGTACAACATGAGAATTTAGCTACTGAGGCATAATGCAGGCCCAACAGTAGTGCTTGTTTGTTTGTTTGTTTTTAATGATTTAAAATTGTAAGTAACTTGCTGTATTGTTTTGATTTAGAGACTGGTAAGAATTACGTATTTTTGTACTAGTTTATACAGTGTATGTGTGTGAGTGTAGAGAGAGGTGAGGGAGATTTTAATGTCTCAGCCCTGGGGGGATTCAGGCATCAGGTGCTCGCTGCTCTGTGGGGAGGGCAGCCGTGTCCGCTGTAGCTACAATTCCACACAGTGCAATAGCAGATGGTGGGTCTTTGTCTCTCCTCTGTAAATCTGTCTTTCCAATAGAAATAAAAAACCTTAAAGAAAAAAAAGAAGAAAGACAAAGTGCTGCTCAGTGCTCTGCCTCAGTGGTTTTGTGTGGTTTCTTAGGGGCTACTGTTCCCGAAGACAGAGGCGTCTCCGGAAAACACTCAACTTCAAGATGGGCAACAGACACAAGTTCACAGGGAAGAAGGTCACGGAAGATCTCCTGACTGATAACAGGTATGGCTGCCCAGCTGGGTGCCAGGGTGTGCACCAGGCAGTGTGCTGCCGTCTCAGTGCAGGAGCCTCTGGGAGGGGCGCTTCTTCCTGTGTCTGAGGTGGGAGCCAAGGCCTCGAGTTGTCTCAGCTCCTTCCGGTAAAAGTTCAAGTGGGGGGGCGGTGTCTGAGCAGTCGTTAGGTCAGGTCTCAGGAATGCGCGTTGGCCACAGGCTCCAGTCAGCGTGGCTCGGTGGAGTCTGGCTGTGTGCATGGTTGCAGGAGAGTGCCGTGCTCCGTGTTCCGTGTGCCCGTGCTTGCCCTTTGCTGAAGGATTATAATTAACCTGTATTGAAAGCCTCCAGGCCACTTCCTCCAGCCTCACTTGGAACTAGTCGGATTATTTGTGTAAAGTGTTGTTTTTAGTGTTTTTGTGTTTTTAGATTTTATTTATTTTTATTGCCAAGTTATATATAGAGAGAGGAGAGACAGAAAGATCTTCCGTCCGATGATTCACTCCTCAAGTGACCGCAATGGCTGGAGCTGAGCCAATCTGAAGCCAGGAACCAGGAACTTTTTCCCGGGTCTCTCATGCAGGTACAGGATCCCAAGGCTTTGGGCCGTCCTCGACTGCTTTCCCAGGCCACAAGCAGGGAGCTGGATGGGAAGTGGAGCGGATCGGCGCCTGTATGGGATCCCAGTGCATTCAAGGCGAGGACTTTAGCCACTACAGTGTTGTGCCGGGCCCTGACAGCTGTTTTTGTGTGTTGTGACAGAGACCACATGGCTAGCAGAGCTTGAGGCATGTATCTCCGGACCCTCCATTAAAATAAAAAGACAATAGCTTGGGCCCAGCAGCGTGGCCTAGCAGCTAAAGTCCTCGCCTTGAACGCACCTGGATCCCATATGGATGCCGGTTCTAATCCTGGCAGCTCCACTTCCCATCCAGCTCCCTGCTTGTGGCCAGGGAAAGCAGTCAGGGACGGCCCAATGCTTTGGGACCCTGCACCTGTGTGCTAGACCCGGAAGGAAGTTCCTGGCTCCTGGCTTCGGATCAGCGTAGCACCAGCTGTTGCACTCAGTTGGGGAGTGAATCATCGGACGGAAGATCTTCCTCTTTTTCTCTCCTCCTTTCTGTATATCTGACTTGGCAATAAAAATAAATAAATCTTTAAAAAAAAAAAAAAGACAACAACTTGCTGCACCATGGTTCAGCATGTAGCCAGGCAGTTAGAGGCCACATTAGAGAAAGGCAGCACACTGCTTGAACCCTTGGTTGGGACTGTGCTGGGGCGTGTCCATCAGCTGCAAACCCAGACACACTTCACGGTAACATGGTGACATCCTAGGTGTTGCTGCTGCTAGTCATTCTGACATCTCACCTGGGAGAGGGGAGCTGGCGGATGATGCACAGGGAAGCTGGGATGTCGGCCTGGGCTGAGCGCCATCCTGTGCCAAGACAGCTGCGAGTACAGGCCAGGGGCTCGCACACTCTGGGCCGTCTCCGGCTGCCACTCAGGTGGCCAGGAGCCTGAGCTGGGTGCGTGGGCAGTCAGCTGGAGCGTGGCGACTGCGGGGGGCATAGCAGTGGTCCGTGAGATCAGTTAGGACGGGCCTAGAGTTTGAAGATCTGGGACTGTCTTAGGATAGCAAGAACCCTTAGCTTGGGGCGAGGAAGCTAAGCTGAAGTTGAAGGAAGGTTCTTCAAGACAGTAGTTGAAATAAAGGTTCACCAGGATCCTAATAGAGTGGTTAGGTTATTGAGTACTTGGCGAGTCCAGACCTGGTCTAGGTGGGCACAGGGCTCCTGTGAGGCACAGAGCAATGAGGTGCCTGCAGTCACTTGGCCCCTCAGTGCTGGCCCCGGGCTCTCCCACAGTCACTTCTGCAGTCTGCCATATAAGGTCATGGGAGCCACCTGGGTAGAGTCAGCAGCTGGATGGGGAGGCCAGGTTACACGCGTGGACTTGACAGAGTAGGCCGAGGCCCTGAGCTCACTGCACGGGAGGTGGCAGTGATATTCTGGTGGGTGATTAGGAACGTGGAATGGAGACTAAGTTGAAATCAGAGGTGCAGATTTGGGGTTCGTTGAAGGGGAAAAGAGGAGAGAGGGTGAGGGACTGGTGTTGTGGCACAGTGAATTAATCTGCTGCCTGTAACAGTACCAGTGTCCTATAGGACCACCAGTTTAGTTCAAGTCCCAGCTGCTCCACTTCCAGTTCAGCTCCTTGGGAAAGCAGTAGAAGATAGGCCAAGTCTTTGAAAGCCCCTGCACCCACATGGGATGAGCTGGAAGAAAACCCCTCTTTGGACCCGGTCCACTCTTGCCAGTGGGGAGTAAGCTGGCACATGAAGATCTTTCTTCGTCTCTTGCTTTCTCTGTATACTTTGCTTTTCAAACAAATAAGTCTTTTAAAATAAGAAAAAGTTGAGGGGCTTAAAGTTAGACCTCCAAGAATCTATGTGAATTGCTCTGCTGGCCTGCGTTCAGCCCTCCCTCTCCGTGCTCCAGGTACCTGCTGCTGGTGCTCATGGATGCCGAGAGGGCCTGGAGCTATGCCATGCAGCTCAAGCAGGAAGCCAACACGGAGCCCCGGAAGCGCTTTCACCTGCTCTCTCGGCTGCGCAAAGCCGCCAAGCACGCCGAGGAGCTGGAGCGCTTGTGTGAGAGCAACCGCGTCGACGCCAAGACCAAACTGGAGGCCCAGGTGAGTGGGTGTCCTGCCCGGCTGGCCCGGAGGTCAGAGCTGGGAGGTCTTTAAAAACTGCTGGCAAGCAGGACAGTTTCCTCCCTAATAAATTGAGAGCCAGGTGAGGCTTTTAAAAGATGAGCTTCACGGTGCTTGTTTCTCTTTGTTTTTGTGCTGTTCGTTGTTTGATATTGAGTGTTCAAGAAAGATGATATTTCCTGATGCTTTCCTTGCTGTGAAGAAGGAAAACTTAGATTATAGACTTGGCAAAGTTCCTGTCAGTGTTCTGCTCTGTTGTTTTTGTCGCAATTTACTTTTGTTTGCTTGTTCTTAGTCAACTAAAATGAAACACAGTTTGTTTTGTTTTTATTTTTGTTTTTGTAGTTTTTTGTGGGAAGCAAAGGGATTACATCAGATTATCTGTTGCATCTTACTCTCTCCACATTTTGCTCTCGGCATTGGGAGCCAGTGGGGAAGCGTGGGCTGGTGCTGGGGTGCTGACTGGGGCTCCCCTGCCCTGCAGGCTTACACGGCTTACCTCTTGGGCATGCTGCGCTTTGAGCATCAGGAGTGGAAGGCTGCCATCGAGGCGTTCAACAAGTGCAAGTGAGTCCCCTGGTCCCCAGGCCGTGGTGACTGCCATGTTGTAGCTCAGCTAAATAGCTTATTTCTGTCAAAGGACAGTTTGTTTTTGTTTTGTTTTCCATAGAAATGTTGGCAGTAGGCACTGGGTCTAGCAGTGAGGATAGCAGCGTTCCTCCGGGGACTCCTGGGTTCGGTTCCTGGCTGTGGCTTCTGACTTGGGTTCCTGCTGATGCAGATCCCAGAAGGGAATGGCAAGGGCACCTGTAACGGGGTCCCTGCCACCCGCATCGAGACCCAAGTGGGAGCCCCAGGATTCTGGCTCCTGGCGTCTCTCTCACCTCCGCCCATGTTGAGCCCTGGGTGGTGAACCCCTGGATGTGACCTCTCTCTATCTCTCCGCTTGTCCAAAAAAGGGGCGGGAGGAGAAGCAATGACATTTATCCTCTTGTCTTCGGGACAGGCTAGTTCTGGGAGTCGCTGGAAGAGCTTCAGAAAGCTGTGGGTTTTAGTTACCATGTTTGTTCTGAGTTCGCTTTCTTAGGCCGGAACAAGGCTGCTGTAGAAGCTGGTGTGTTTCCTTACAGAACCATCTATGAGAAGCTGGCAAGCGCGTTCACAGAGGAGCAGGCCGTGCTGTACAACCAGCGTGTGGAGGAGATCTCACCCAACATCCGCTACTGTGCCTATAACATTGGTGAGCGGGCCCAGAGGTGGCACTGCTGCTGGCCTGGCACCAGCAGGGGGCATGCGGGAGCTGATCCCTGAGGCCCTGGAGACCGTCTTTTAATTCTTCCTTCCTTCCTGTGCTTGGTGACAAAGTAGAACTGTCAAAGTCAGCCCTGCTCTGAATTCTTAGCTTTGGTTTCCATCCTGCCGCCATCTCCGTACCCCCAGAGCAGTCTTGAGTCTTCAGCCAAGTTGATCTCTTACTGTCCAGGCCAATGTTAGGTTCGCAACAAGACAGAGAACAGAGATTTCTCCTGTGCACCCTGCCCTCCCGCCTGCCAAGCCTCCGTAGTTAGCAGCATCCCTCACCAGAGGGGTCCATTGTTACCACTTGTGAACTGCATCAGCACAGCATCAGAGTCTGCTGTGGGTATTGTGCGTCGTCTGGGTTTAGACACTTATGTGGTGAACTGCATCCAGCATCGCAGGCCATGTGGAGTGCTTCAGTCCGCAGCCGAGGCCGTGCCTCGCAGACGGGCTTGCCTTCAGAGCACAGACCCTAGTGTGGAGTCATGCCCGTGTGCTTGCAGGGGTTTATGGTTCTGCCACAGCGTGAGCCTCTGGCATCCCATCCTGTGTCTAGCAGCCCTGGCTGCTCCACTGCCCACCCCACTCCCTGCTAATGCACCTGGGAAGGTAGCAGAGGGTGGCCCAAGGGCTTTGCCACCCACATGGAGACAGTGGAGTTCCTAGCCATGCCTGTTGGTGGCCATTTGGGAAGTGAGCTGGTGGGTAGAAAGTCTTTGTGTCTTTCTCTTTCTCTGTCACTCTGTCTATTGAATAAATAAGTAAATCTTTTAAAAAAAAACTGCCGTCTCTCACAGGGGACCAGTCCGCCATGAATGAACTGATGCAGATGAGGTTGAGGTCTGGCGGCACTGAGGGGCTATTGGCTGAAAAATTGGAGGTAATTCAGTATGCACGTTTGAGAAGTCTTTGCTTTGGAAAAGTCCAGAAAAACCTTGTAATTCCATTCCCCCTGAGGTGGTATTAGTGAGTATACGTATTGTACCTGCAGTTTTAACACAGAACTTTTTCACTGTAAGTAGCAGTGTAAATATTCAACTTCTAACCCCAATATGTTTGTTTTCTAATCAGTTTATATAGATTCATTTAAAAAGTAATACAATATTACTGGGAGAAGTTTTTTATGTTTTCATATGCTAATATATATATATTTTCCAAGAAGGAATTTAAAATAAACAAAAAGTTGTATACTTTGTAAGGCGTGTGATATGTTGCTGATGGAACCAGGTCAGTAATGGGTTCCACATTCATCACTGTTCCTTGAATCCACGATTCCAACTTTAACTTGCTGTACCTGCTTCCCAGGCGTTGATCACCCAGACCCGCGCCAAGCAGGCCGCCACGATGAGTGAGGTGGAGTGGAGGGGAAGGACGGTGCCCGTCAAGATTGACAAAGTGAGGATCTTCCTGCTGGGCTTGGCCGATAACGAAGCTGCCATCGCCCAGGTGAGGCTCCTGCGTGTGTCCTCATGCGTTCAAGACGTGTTTGCTGGGTGCTCCTTGCTCCCAGAGCAAATTGATCTTTAAGCTGTCTGGGATGTGGTAAGTCTGCAAATGTCCCCTCTTGAATAAAATTGTTTTGAAAACCAAGTATAGAGTACTTGGTGGGCAGAGAAAGTGACAGGAATGTCATTCGCATAGGAACGGGAGAAGGAGGCCAGCTTGGCTGGAGGGACCACTCAGGTTCCCAGCAGGTGGAGCAGCTGGAGCACCTCGAGCAGCTGCCTGACCAGTGTGCCTCACCTGCGGACCCAGCCTTGGAGTTCACCCCTTATATCTGGGCTTTTTCAGAGTAGCCTGGTTAAACTAGAATATCTTGTTTTGTGTGCTGTATCCATGTAATATTTATGCAAATTGCTACTTAGGGCATAATTGCATGTTTATGAGTGTGGACAGCCCAGTGACCTCCAAAAGATAAGAGACCCCTGCCGTCTTGGTGGATGGAAGTAGGCAGTAGTTACAGCCCTTCTGGGAATGTCTCACCCTGTGAAGTGGGGAGGGGGCACGTCGGCTCTGCATCACCTGATCTGGTCTGGCCCTGCCAAGGGAGCCACAGGCGGAACTTGCAGTTTAATAAGTCTCTAGCAGGCTGGTTTGACGTTGATCATTTTGCATGATAGATACAAGGCTCCCCACCCCTACCAGAGGCAGCTTTGAAGGAGGTAACCCAGCCTGGTCTCTCTGTCTGCTGCCAGTAGCAAAGTGGCATCTCATTAGCTTCACACTAATCTGTATCAGTCGTAGTTGGAGCAGGGAGCTGCTTTGCTCTGCTGATGTATTGAACCTTCCCAACATTTTTTTTTTTTAAGCCACAGAACACTTCTATCTGGTTCATTCCTCAAAGGCCCACATGACTAGGACCAGGTCAGGAACTTCATTCAGGCCTCCCACACAGGTGGCAGCCACCTAATTACTTGAAGTATTCCCCTGCCTCAAATTTTGTGTAATAGCAGGAAGTTGAAGAGCCAGTGGCCAGAGGCAGGTGTTGAAACCAGGAACCCTGGTCTAGAAGTGGGCTTCATAGCTAGAAGGCTAAGGTAGAGCTCTCAGTCTGCCCCAGCATGCAGACGTCTCTGCTGCCTCAGTAAATGTGTATGGAGGCAGAGTGACAGCAGGAGGTAGGGATCTTTCTTTTTTCTTTTTGGTTTTTTTTTGAAAGATTTATTTATTTTTATTTTTATTGGAAAGTCAGATTTATAGAGAGAAGCAGAAACCGAATGATGCTTCACTTCCCAAGTGGCTGCAGTGGCAGGCGTTGAGCTGATTTGAAGCCAGGAGCCTCCCCTGGTCTCCCACACATGGGTGCAGGGTCCCAAGGCTTTGGGCTGTCCTCGACTGCTTTCCCAGGCCACAAGCAGGGAGCTGGATGGAAAGTGGATCAGTGTGGACACAAACTGATGCCCCTGGGATCCTGGCGCATGCAAGTTGAGGACTTTTGGCACTAGGCTACTGTGCCAGGCCCAGTCGATCAATCTTCTGACCATTGGTTCTCTCACACAGTGGTCTCATCCACCAAGGCTCGACCAGGCTGACGCCAGGAGCTGGGAGCTTCAGCAGGTCCTCCCGTGTAGGTGATCCTGCACTCATGTGAGAATGGCATATCCCAAGTATTGGCTTATTGTGCTGTGCCACAGTGCCCGCCTATGAATGCCTCCCTGTCTTTTTAATAAATTGAGATTCAGAGTGAAAGTGAAAAGGAGAGACAGAGATCTTCATTTGCAAGTTCACTCCAAATGCCTGCAGCTGCCACCACCAGGCCAGGCCAGGCCGGGAGCCATGATTCCATTCAGGTCTCCATGAGGGTAACCGGAACACAAGGACTTGGGCCTTCCAGGTGACTTGTTAGGAAGCAAGATTGAAAGTGTGGAACGGCTAGGACTCAGAGCAGCACCTGTGTGTGGTATGCCATTGTTGCAAACAGCAGCTTGCTGTACTGACCCACTGCACCTGCCCCAGCATACAGACTTCTCATTGACTTGTTCTAAAGGTTGCTTTGGGTGGGGGGCAAGCTTCACCAATTGCAGAGTCTATTTGTAACCTTATCACTATTGTGTGTTGGCTAACATTTCACATTTATCTGCTTAAAGGACAGGAGAGTAGAAGAGTTACAGAGATGTGCGTTTTCCTTAAACTGTGAGACCGAGGACCATTTCCTAGGTGCTGTTGGGTTTTCCCTGGACGAGGACCCTGATTACTGATTAGGTTACCTTATTTTATTTTGTTTTTTAAAAAGATTTATTTTCGGGCCCTGCGCCATAGTGTAGTGGCTAAAGTCCTTGCCTTGAACACTCTGGGATCCCATATGGATGCTGGCTCTAAGTGACCGCAGTGGCCGGTGCTGTGCCAATCCGAGGCCAGGAACCAGGAACTTCTTCCAGGTCTCCCACGTGGGTGCAGGGTCCCAAGGCTTTGGGCTGTCCTCGACTGCTTTCCCAGGCCACAGGCAGGGAGCTGGATGGGAAAGCAGGGCTGCCGGGATTAGAACTGGTGCCCATATGGGATCCCGGGCATGCAAGGCGAAGGCTTTAACCACTGCACCATCACGCCGGGCCCTTTTTTTTTTTTTTAAGATTGATTGATTGGTTGATTGATTGGAAAGTCAGATATACAGAGAGGAGGAGAGACAGAGAGGAAGATCTTCTGTCCCATGACTCACTCCCCAAGTGAGTGCAACGGCAGGTGCTATACCGATCCGAAGCCAGGAGCCAGGAACTTCTTCTGGGTGTCCCTCATGGGTGCAGGGTCCCAAAGCATTGGGCCAACCTTGACTGCTTTCCCAGGCCACAGGCAGGGAGCTGGATGGGAAGTAGAGCTGCCAGTACATGAACTAGCACGCACATATGATCCCAACTCTTGAAAGGTAAGGATTTAGCCATTGAGCCGTTGCGCCCAGCCCAGTAAATCTTTGAACAGTAAATCTAAACCTTAAAATTGGGGGCTGCTTTGTGACACAGTGTGTTAGCAGACATCCTCATTCCATACCAGAGTGCCTGCTAATGCATCCTGGGAGGTGGAAGGGGGTCACCACAGGAGGCCTGGATGGGAGTTCTCGGCTGCTCTCGGAGTGCGTCAGTGGACGGAGGGGACAGCTGTCTGTTCCTGTTTGTCATTTTGCCTTTCAAATCAATCAACTTTTTTAAAAAGAACTTTTTATTGTTCATTCTTATTTTTTTAAGGTTTATTTATTTTTATTACAAAGTCAGATATATAGAGAGGAGGAGAGACAAAGAGGAAGATCTTTCCAATGATTCACTCCCCAAGTGACCACAATGGCTGGTGCTGCACTGATCAGAAGCCAGGAGCCAGGAGCTTCCTCCAGGTCTCCCTCACGGGTTCAGAGTCCCAACACTTTGGGCCATCGTTGACTGCTTTCTCATACCACAAGCAGGGAGTTGGATGGAAAGTGGAGCATTCAAGGCAAGGACTTTAGCCGTTAGGCCATCGTACCGGGCCCAGATTTAGATATACAAGAGTAGAGAGAGAGAGGAAGATCTTCCATCCGATGATTCACTCCCCAAGTGACTACGATGGCCGGGGTGCTGCTCTAATCCAAAGCCAGGAGCCAGGGACCTCCTTTAGGTCTCCCACGCTGGTGCAGGGTCTCAAGGCTTTGGGCAATCCTCAGCTGCTTTTCCAGGCCATTAACAGGGAGCTGGAAGGGAAGCAGGATGACTGAGATTAGAACTGGTACCCATATGGGATCCCGGTACGTGCAAGGTGAGGACTTTAACCATCACGCTATCACTCCGGTCCCAAAAGTGTTTATTCTTATATAATGAGTTTCCTTCCTTACCACATTTCCGTTTGTGTTTTCCTATAACTCCCTGGGCTGGGTGAGGCCTGGTTTCTGTACCCATGGTTGTCCTGTGGGTGCGGTGGGGAATGTGGTCAGACTTGCCTGTGTCTCCTAGTCACACCACCCCCTTCTGCAGCTTCCTCAGCCCAGTGGAAGCCATGTGGGGTCTGTGGCAGCCGGTTTCCATGCCTCAGGACCCCCGGCAGCTGAGCTGCTGTGCTGTCAGTGTAGAGCCCCTGCTGGAGCGGGGAACCCAAGGCTGGAGGTGGCCCACCCCGGAGGGCTCACACTCCCTGGGAAACTGAGAATTTGATTATGTTAGGACCAGCATGGACGGGCACTGCCAGCGTGAAGATTCTGTGACATAGGCACACCTGGGTAGATGCACCCAGACCACCCATGCTAGGGAGCCGCCCCACTTGGTTTGGAATGTTAGGGGGTTTTAGCACTGCCCTGCAGGTCCGCCCCCAGCAGGACGGAGACCTGCCTCTGCATGTGGAGAGGTGGGGCCACTTCCATTGTGCTCTCCGTAATTAGCTTGGCTCCAAGGACAGGTTTATGGGATGAAAGTGTAAGTACAAAATGTATTTGGGACATGGGCTGTGCCTGAGAATCGCGAGAGATTCTTCCTCGGAGGTTGGTGGTCTCGGAGTGATGCTGCGGGGTACGGAAATCTACCCCTTTCGGGCCCAGCAACGTGACCGTGGAGGCTAAGCCTCTGCCTGTGGCACTGACATCCCATAAGGGTGCCAGTTTGAGTCCTAGCTATTCTTTCTATCCAGCTCCTGCCTGTGGCCTAGGAAAGCAGTAGAGGTTGGTTTAAGTCCTTGGGCTCCTATACCCACATGGGAGACCTGTAAGAAGCTCCTGACTCCTGGTTTTGGGTTAGTTCAGCTCCAGCGGTTGTGATCATTTGGGAAATGAAACAGCACATGGAAGATATTTTTGTCTCATCTCTCTGTAAATATGCCTTTCAAATAAAAGTAAAAATAAAAAAAAAATAAAAAAGACTTGTAAACTTTTGTGGAAGCAGGATTTGATTGGAGCCATGGCCAAGTTTGCTGTGTAGTCAGCACTTGATACAGGAGTTTCCTTAGAGACGACAGTGACGCTGGGCAATTAGGAGGGTTAGCCTCAGAGTCACTTTAACTTTTACATTTGAACCATCCCCTGCCTACAGGAAAGGAGTCGGATCCTGTGCAGCTGGTAGAACGAAACCAGCTTTCAGACAGCCATTACCCCAGCACTGAGCCCCACCTGCCTGGGCAGCTGCTGGCAGGCTGGCTGGGCTGCACGGGCGCTGTAGTTCGTCCTTCCTGCTCCTGGGGTAGCTCTGGGTGTGTGTGTGTGTGTGTGTATGTGTATGGTTGGCTAGTTTGTTAAACTGTTCCAACTCTGTTCACGTGCCATGTTCTAGTTAAATGTTACACAACTGAACCCATCCGCAGGATCTGTGCTGTGAGCGCTGTGGCGTATTGGGTTCATCTGAGGTGCTTAGCAGTGTACTTTCTTTTTAATTGTAGATGATATTTACATAGTTGGAGTGGGAAGGATCTGAGGTTAGGGAGAAGTGGGTGTGATCATTGCTTCCAAGCTTTTTGTTTCTTTTTCCCATTTTTTTCTTTTTCTTTTTTTTTTTTTTTTACAAAGTCAGATATACAGAGAGGAGAAGAGACAGAGAGGAAGATCTTCCGTCCCATGATTCACTCCCCAAGTGAGTGCAACGGCCGGTGCTGTGCCTATCCAAAGCCAGGAGCCAGGAACTTCCTTCTGGGTCTCCCACACGGGTGCAGGGTCCCAAGGCTTTGGGCCGTCCTCGACTGCTTTCCCAGGCCACAAGCAGGGAGCTGGATGGGAAGTGGAGCTGCCGGGATTAGAACTGGCATCCATATGAGATCCCAGTTCATTCAAGGCGAGGACTTTAGCCACTAGGCCACCACACTGGGCCCCTCTTTTTTCCATTTCTAGGGGGAGGGGGAGATAGGGGATTAAGCCATACCCAACTCCCCCCAGTACCCAAGGATGGGGAAAGGCCACCAGTATCAACCCAAGGTCACAATGGCGCATGCTCCAAAGGTTCTGCCCAGGGGATGCCAGAGTTTTAAAATGCTGTCGATCTCACCAATTTGTGTATGCGGAAGCCCTTCCAACATCCGTTATATTTGCTGTCATCATTTGGCTGGGGTAGTTGTCCATATGTTCTGTTCTCCATTCTCTGCCTTGGCACTAAATGTCCTCTCAGGCCCAAAGAGTCACCGTGTCCTCCATGTGCACCATGACCTGCTGTCCGACATTCCGTCCTCTACACAGAGGACCAGCAGTGTTCTTCCAGCTGTGCTTGTCTCACACTGTGTGCTCCTGGGTTACAGCTGCTCCGATGTAAACCTCTCGGTGTCAGGTGTCCGACAGCCCCACCTGGCTGAGGCCTGCCGTGTGGCCGTTGGTGGGGCAGGCAGAGGATGTCTCCACGGGGCAGCAGGTGGCACTGGTTGGTGACCGGTGGCGGCCACGGTAGATTTACAGGAGACTGTGCCCCTGCTTTGTTCCCAAGTACTGTAAAAGGGAAAGTCTGTTTATATTGGGTAATTTACAAGCAAGATTTTTCTCACCTTGGAAACTAAGAAAAGTTTAAGAGTGCTTAAGAAAAGGAAAAGACTTTCTTAAGCCCCTCCCAAACTCTCTTAAAGGAACGGAAAGTACTGGGGTTTCTGTTGAGCGTTCTTAAAGGTCATTGAACGTTTAAGATATTTTTGTCAGACTGGATGTTCAGTTTCTGTGGAAAGTCAAATAGTAAAGGAATGTTGGTGCTTTAATGTCACAGTAGGTCTGCCAGTTTCACAAGTTCATCTCCTGTGTGCCTTTCATGCGTTCCCACCTGCCCAGCGAGATTCTTTAGAGTGATAGTGGCTTGGCAGGTATTCGGTTAATGAGTCACTTTCTCACTTGTCCCAGAGTGCAGCAGAGCGGTGACGCCCAGTGCCGTACAGAGGCTGTCACCTCGTGCTCGTCAGGCTTGTCCGCTGCAGAGCAGACCCCGTGGAATGTGTGGGCAGGCTGTGCAGTGGGGACGGGAACCCAAGGCCGAGGGAGAAGCCCCTGTCCGGTTGGGCCGTGGTTAGTAGCGTGACTGCTTGCCGGGGCCTGGGGACGTGCAGTGTCGGCGCAGGGTGACTCTGGCTCGCCTGCCAAGCTGGGCCGTTTGTCCTGCAGGAAGAAGGAAGGACTTCCCGCATGCCGCTCTGCAGTCTGTGGGACAGTGCTCCCGCTGCTCCGGGGGCCCCAGGGATGTGAGTGCTTGTCCTGCAGTGGAAGCGGGGAGCTCTAGTGGCTGACCGGGGGAAGTGGACGCAGTGACATCACTCCCACGGGTGGCTTCTGGAGCGGTTCCATGTCCACATGACTCAAAGGCTGTGAGAAGACCCTGTCGTGCTGGGCAGGGATTCCATCAGTGCACGTGGGCAGGAGTGTGAGAGGGACACGCAGCAGGTGTTGTGGCGCTGCCTTCCTCCCCCGGTCAAGGAGTATGGTCTCCCCCAGAAATGGCCTCTGACGCTCTCATTCTGCTGCCCTTAGGCCGAAAGCGAAGAAACCAAGGAGCGCCTGTTTGAGTCCATGCTCAGCGAGTGTCGGGACGCTATCCAGGCCATCCGCGAGGAGCTGAAGCCAGACCAGGTAGGTGTCCACCGGGGGCTTATCCAGCCATGGTCACATTTTACATGTCACAGTCACCTGTTAGCAAAGGCCTCTGTGCCCCCTGAGATTGGGCAGTTCCTCCCTTCCAGCCCTGCCCCTGCAGGCCTCACCAGTACCCGCTGAGCCTGTGGCTTCCTGTCTCTGGGCAGACTGGACCCTCATGCGGGTCATTTATCACCGTGATTCATTCAGACCTCAGAACTGTCTCCCTGTAACTGCCATATCACCAATTCCTCCCTTTCCCTCCTTCCACCTGGGCTGCCCTCTCCTCTCTCACCTGCCCACAGCCCTCGTGCTGTTTGAGGTCCGGCCCCAACACACCCCAGCCGAGCAGCCTGCAGCATGCTAGCGCACCAGGACCGCTGCATTTCCTGAATGGCTGGTACTTGGCAGATGTGATTTTGTTTGGTAGTTTGTCAATTGTTTCCTCTTTTAAAAATTGCAATTTTTGTTAATTATAGTAGACTACACATAACATAAAATGTATCCTTGTGAACATTTCTGGCTGTGGGTCAGAGGTGCTAAGGACATCCATAGTGATATGTCGTCATCACTAACTCCAGTCCCTGTGACTCTTCATTTTATGAAACTCTTTACTCATGAATCAATTGCTTGAATTGTTAGCTGTGAACATTTCATTTCTTGCTTCATGTTTAGCTGTTCATTTCCCTTGATGTTATAAACATCTTAAATGTTCTGCCATCATACCTGGAGTCCTCCCCAACATGCTTTTTTTTAAAGCCACTGTTTTTTTCCCAGTAGCCACTTGTTTTTCCCGTTGTGCTGCCTTGGCCGACGGTCCCTTTGGTTCTCCCCCTCGTGTCATGCAGGCGCCTCCCAGAATATGCCGCACGTGACAGAGATGTACCGTTCCCTAGCGGTACAGCAGCATCTCTCATTGCCTTCAGACAGTGCAGGTCCACACTTCGGGGGCAGGAAGGGACAGTGCCTTCATGGAACTTTGAGGTTCTGTTCCAGGTGTTCTAGAGAAAGCTCTTCCTGCCTCTGGAGGCACTGTAGTCCTTGGCCTGTGGCTCCTCCCTCCATCTGCAAAGCTAGCAGCTCAGCTCCTGTCCTTGTTGCCTCCTGCTCTTCCTGGCTCTGCATCTGTGTTTTGGAGGGAGGCCCTTGCAGTGTCGTTGGGCCTGCCTGCCTGAGGGCAGGGTAATCCAGAATCCTTCATTCAGCCCTGTCTGCTAATGGCTCTTACTGTGGGAGTTCTGTGGCTGTATCAGGGGCAGTTACTCAGCCGTCTGCAGAAGCCACCTGTGGCCACACGGCTCTCAAGGCTGGGAGTGAGCAGGCCCTGGAGTGGAGCCGTGCCCTGGGAAGTACTCAATGCTTTGAGGTTAGGTACTGGAGGCAGTGGGCACGAAGCTTCAGTTGGCCAGTTTTTAGGTGCCAGCGTTGACCGAGGAACCCTGTTTTTCTTTGCGTCGAGTACATCTTTGACAGGTGAGGACCCTGAACTTACTGTGATCTTGTTGAGGGCACCGAGTGATGTGGACAGGGACCAGGGTGGGTCAACAGTTTGTGTAATCCTCTTTGCTTTCTGCAGAAACAGAGGGACTACACTCTGGACACAGAGTCGGGCAAGGTGTCTAATCTTCAGTACCTGCACAGGTAAGGCTGTTCTGACCGGCTGTTTGTCTCATCTTGTTCTTTGGAAACACATCCTGTCTAAGGAACACCTGTCTGCTTATGTGCAGTTTCTGCTCTTTCATTGTGTGTGGGATGCCCCACTGCAGGGGTCTGCCCCTGCCTCCCCACCAAGGACCCAGGCTCCAGGGTCTTAGAGCATATCTCTCAGGCTGCTCAGATCCCAAGGTACACAAGGCCATTGGGTGTCTCTTGGACTGGTCAGATCCTGGGGTGTACCAGGCCACTGTTGTCTGGCCTGAGGTAGATGGCCAGAGGTTAGCCCTTGGGCCTTGCACTCTGTGTGCACCATGGAGTCCTTGACACTGCTGTGCTGTGTCCTTTCCACGGGGCGGCCTCTGGTCTTCTGCCAGAGAAAGAGAAGGGCCTGGGGTACAGTTAAACCCAGCAGAACTCTGACAAAAGCCCTGGTGTGTGCACTCGGTCCATTGAGTAGCTGGCATTGTCCACAGAGACTGTGCCCTGGGTTTTCTGTCCATGGGGATGTTCAGCTGTCTGTGGGCATGCTGTGCACTCAGTTTGAGCCAGGTGCTGGAAACAGGCATGCTGTAGGTACCACCCTCAGGCTGAGCAGAGTCCCGTGAATGAGGAGCTCTGGCCGTAAACAACAGGTGCAGAGGCCATGGCCAAGGCTAAGGATCTGAGGCTGCATATGGCCACTGACCAGCTGCCGAGTAGAGGGCCCTGGTGAGCTAGAGGCTTGGGCCAAGTGGCACTGCCATGTGCTGGGTCCTCGGTCAGTGTTAACTCACTGTCCAGTGTGCTTCCCTGAGAGAGTAACTGAGCACACATGTGCCCCCTCCCAGCTACCTGACCTACATCAAACTGTCGACGGCCATCAGGCGCAACGAGAACATGGCCAAGGGGCTGCAGAGGGCCCTGCTGCAGCAGCAGCCAGATGACGACAGCAAGCGCTCCCCACGGCCACAGGACCTGATCCGGCTCTATGACATCATCCTGCAGGTGACCCGGGAGGACTGGGCACATGATGTCCGGGGCCCAGGTTCTTGTACCAGTTCAGTATTGTGTGGCCCTGGTGTTCCAGGCATGTTGGCTCATAGAGCCTGTGTACCCTCCTGTGCCCAGTATTCATGGAGCACCTCACTTGAGTAAGATACCCCCCTGGATGCTGTGAACTAGCCTGCATGCTGTGGCCACAGGGTCTCGGTCAGAGTCTATCATGCCACAGAGACAGTCCAGATGAGGGGCCAGGCCCTTCAGGGAGCCCTCCCAGCAGTCAGAAGTATGTGAAGATGGCTGAGGCTTGAGCTGAGCCTTCGGGTGGATGGGCTCCGGGTGGTGGGGAGTGGAAGTGAGGTCGAGTGCAGCTGGTCTGTTCAGCTTAGACTCTGCCTGTTACTTTGCGCTCACCCTTTGCAACACACGTACATACACATTTACACAAATGCACACACACGCACACACACATGAACCTGGTCTTACAGAGTCTGCTTTTTTTGTTGTTTTTTTTTTATTTTTGTAGAATCTGGTAGAATTGCTCCAACTACCTGGCTTAGAAGAAGACAGAGCTTTCCAGAAGGAAATAAGCCTCAAAACTTTGGTGTTCAAAGCTTACAGGTAGTGTCCCATGGGACGAGCAGGGCTCCTCTGGTCCCCGCAGGTGTGCAAACGCACTGGGCCATGAGTGCCTGGTGACCTGTGGCGGGCAGTGTGCATAGGGCCGAGGGGCACTCCTGACACTGCGCTCGCAGCTCCCCATGCCTGCTGTGCCCTGTGTGCTCTGTGGATGGTCTGGGCAGGGACAGCACAGGCCGAGTCCAGCTTGATCTGGTTCCCTCCCTCCTTGAAGACAAGGGACAAATGTTGGAAAGGGTGGTAATTTGCAGGCCCACTGCAGCTATCCATGGCAGGCACCCAGACTGACTTGGGATAAAGCTGACTGAGTTTCTCAAGGAACTGTAGTGTTTGTGTCTTGCAAGTGGACAGAGTAGCAGGACGGGGGCTTGACTAGACGGTGGAAGAGGCATCTGTGGGCTCCGTGCTCTTCTTGGATCTCAGGTCCTTGGCCTCTGGAGCACCCATCTTCTCTCACGTTCACTCCTCCGCGCCCCCATTCTGGCAGGGGCTGGCTGTGTTCAGCTGTAGGAGTTGCTGGGGCAGTGGAAGTAAGACTTGTATCTGACCCCAGCAGCATTCCTCCCTCTTGCCTGTGCCCAGCTGCCACTGCAGGTCATCTCCCATTGCCAGGGTGGTTCTCTGGGTTGGACTTAGGCAACACAGCCAAACATGCAGTTCCACACGGCCGCGGGGCAGGCCTTTCCGTGGATGGCTGCTTCAGAGCGCAGCAGCTCGTCTCCCTTCCTGCAGGTGTTTCTTCATCGCTCAGTCGTATGTGTTGGTAAAGAAATGGAGTGAAGCTCTGGTCTTGTACGACCGAGTGCTGAAGTATGCAGAGGAGGTTGGGGCTGACGCGGGAACCTTTAAGAACAGCCTGAAGGTAAGCCACTGTCTCCTCTCGGCCCAGGCCCCAGGGAGGCAGGTAGGACGCTGTGTCGCTGTGTCAGGGTTGCACTGGCTGCACCCCTTCCCCAGCTGGTCTCCTTATGACTTGATGCATCCCTGACAGCCCTGGGACTGTAAGTTGCATAGCTCAGGGCCGCATTCCCAGCCTGGGGAGGATTTACATGCAAAGGAAAGTCATTTCACTGGCTCACACAAAAACCAAAACAAAGCCTAGAGTTGTGCTCTCCCTCGGTCAGCATTGCCGAGGAAGAAGGAGGAGGTATGGGCTGGAGACTCCCGTGCCAGTTGGTGCGGCCTGGCATAGACACTGGTGTTTCCTGAGGCTCCAGCAGCGTGACCTGTGGGGGCGCGCCCTGCCCTTCCTGCAGAGTCAGAGTGCGCCCCAACGAGCCCCCCAGGGCGCCAAGGGGCCTGTGCAAGCTTAGGAGGTGCCCACCCACACTGCCGCACTGGCTGAGCCCCCGGGCTGGCGTTTCTCACTGCTTGTTGACATCCACTTGCTGCTGAGCCTGTGTCCTGCTGCTGTGATGTGGAACTTGTTCAAACACCGGCCGGGCCAAAGAATCCACATGAGTTTAATGAGCAGAGACGGTGGAAAAACAAACCAGTTAGTGTGATGAATGTCATCACCAGCCCATCCACACAGGTCGTGTCAGAGCTCGCACTGTGCTCAGAACCCCAGGCTCCGTGAGGGAGAGAGGTGACCCTGCTGGAAGGTTCGCCAGCAGGAGCCCAGTCAGAGGGGGAGCGGGTCGGGATGGATGGAGTGGCACAGCACTTGCGGGAGGCTCTGTTGGGGCACAGCAGGCACCATGGGGAGAGGAGAGAGGCATTTTACAAACACCTCGTGTGATAGAAGGGAAGGAGGCACAAATTGGAAAAGGCGTGTAGGACTTTGCCACATCCAGGCCATGGGATCAGCTCTGTCACACCAAGTTACCAGGGCCAGGAGAGTGGCGTTGCCCTGTGGAAATGGGCAGCTGTGGTCAAGGGCTGAGCCCCGGAGCGCGAGGACTGGGTTTTGCGGTCACACTCTGCTACTGCCCCAGGTCTGGGCCGCACGGCCTAGGCTCCACAGGCGTCTGCTTTCCCTTCTGTGAAGTGGGAGTGCAGGAGAGCTCGGGATTTCAGTTAGCAGCCACGCCAACCACATGGAAAAGTACCTGGCACGTGGTCTACCAGATGATTCTACTGTGCTCTTGTCAGTCATTCCCAGGTGGCGTGCCCACGGACCAGTTTTGCCCACCTCGAGTGGGCTCAGGTTTCTTTGTAAACAAGGAGAACTGTTGGAGAAGCATGAACTCCAGCAAACCCCTGGGAGCCTTGACCAGGTGAGCTGGGTGGCCCCTGGCCAACCGGCTGCTGAGCCGTTTTCTCCTGTCATTGCAGGACCTGCCAGACATGCGAGAGCTCATCACGCAGGTGCGCTCCGAGAAGTGCTCCTTGCAGGCCGCAGCCATCTTGGGTGAGTGCCTGCCACGTGGCAGCCCTGCCCCCACACTTCCTGTCCCCACTGTCCCCTGCACAGCTCTCTAAAGGTTGAAGAGATTTGTGTGGGTAAGCCAGGAGGGTTTTTGTTTTTCCTGGCCTTTACTTCTGCCGCAGAGGCATTGGGCCATGCCAGAGGATTGGGAGGTGCCGCTCCGCTGTCCCCCTCCCCCTGACAGCCTCAGCCAGCTGTGCTGGCCGCCCTGGGCTGCCAGCCCCAGCCCTGGTGTGTTCTGTCTGCTTAGAGCCCAGGAGGGAGGGGCTGGTGTGGCTCCTCTGTGCCACATCTCTGTCCTCACTTCCTCCTGGTGACACTTTCAGATGCGAACGACAGCCATCAGGCAGAGACCTCATCCCAAGTGAAGGACAGCAAGGTGAGTGTATGACTTCCGGAGTGTGGGCTGGGACGTGTGCCACGCAGAACTGGGGGTCCCTGGGTTCTAGAGAAGCCCTCGCCGCCCTCCAGGTTCTCACGTGCAGCCTGGAGGTGTGTGTGTAGGTGGCAGGTGTGTAGATTAGAGGGGCAGGGAAACACCTGCGGGCAGGAGCTCCATGTTGCTGTCAGCCAGGCCTGTGCCCTCCTGAGGTCAGGTCAGTGACTCCGACGCCAGGGTGGGGCATGGTAGCCCTCGCTCACGTCCAGCCCTGGTATCGTGGCCCACCAGGCTTCTCCCTCATTAACCTCATTTCCTCTCATTGGACTTGCAGCCTCTGGTTGAACGGTTTGAGACGTTTTGCCTGGACCCTTCCCTTGTCACCAAGCAAGCCAACCTTGTGCACTTCCCTCCGGGCTTCCAGCCCATCCCCTGCAAGCCCTTGTTCTTCGACCTGGCCCTCAACCATGTGGCTTTCCCCCCGCTGGAGGACAAGCTGGAGCCCAAGGCCAAGAGCGGCCTCACCGGCTACATCAAGGGCATCTTCGGGTTCAGGAGCTAACCAGGCGTGGCCTCGGGGCAGGGGAGAGTTGGGCTGCACATCTGGCGTGGGAGGAGATGGCGGCAGCCGCGTGGGGCCAGGCTCAAGTCCCACAGCCTCAGCACTGTGGATGTGCCGTGTGTGCACCTGGGTCCCTCCCATCATGAAGGAAGGGCTCCCTGTCGGCTTCAGGTTGGTGTGTGTGCAGTCACTCTGTCTCCTGTAACTCCAGGGCTGGGGTCATGGGGTGGCCACGGCTGCCTGGTGCCTGGTGCCTGGTGCCTGGTGAACTGTAACTGATTCCCCAGGGGCCCCCTGAGGCAAAGACGGGGCCGTGGCACATGTCGCCGTGTGTTTGAAATGAACTCCTCCCCGCCATGAGCATCCCAGCCCCTCGCAGGGTCTGCCCGTGACAGCGATGGCAGCAGTGTCGCCCCGGAAGTGTGGTCAGCCTTACTCCCCTTCTCTCCAAGTGAACGTTAAGTTTCAGAACAAGCAGAGAGCTCTATTTTTAGAAGAAATCTGTTAGTCTCCAGTGATGAGCCCAAATCTTCTATTACAAAGTAAAGATAATGGAGACTACCCGTCTGTTCACCCTTCTTCCCTCTTCTCCCAGGTCTGTCCTTGGGATCCTGGTCCTGTGGCCTGTGGTGCAAGGTCACAGGTGCCCTGACCTGCTGGGAGTGGCTGATGCCAGTGGCAGATGTGGCACGGGCACTGTCTGGTCAGGGCTCCTGGCCTGTAATTTTGAGGTGCCATCCCAGTTCACTCACTCTGCCCCCTTGGCTCTTATTTTCCTGAGTCATGTGCTTCAGCAGCACTGATAAACAGTCACACAAACAATGTAAGAAAACAAGGCACAAAGGAGATTGGACCCAGAGGGGCCCCCTGAAACCTCTGCGTCACTGTGGGACTCACCCCACTTGGCTCGTGGGGAAGAACTCCCCCAGGAACTGCAGTGCTCAGCTGTGGGGGAGGCGGGGGGCTTGGCGAGAAGGCTGCGTGTTAGTGATCAGAGATGGGAGTAGTCATCTGTGCGTTTTCCGGGTTCTGTCCCTTTTGAGGGGCACAGATACTGATCTCGTGTCGCTGCCTGAAGTGTCCTGACGAGCTGAGGGAATGCTGCAGGCTGCCCTGGTCTGGCACCCCCGACCCCAATGCCTTCCTCTGCTGCAGGACCTCACTGGCTTGTAGCCAGACTCGGGGGGGAAGAGCTGTGGGGCGAGGCTGCAGTTTGGCACACTGTCCGGTGCCCTTTGCTCATCCCCTTCCCACAGGGTGACCCCAAGCTTCTCTTGTGGCCACACTCAAGATTCTTCCTGCAGTGTCTGCCTGTGCTGTGTGAGGCTGAAGCTACTGGTGGCTGCAGTGGCCTGTGCTGCTCAGTCCTCTGGCCTGGGCTGTGTGCACCCATCTCTGGGTGAGACTAATTGGGTTCCTTGATGGATGTACAGCACTGAACCTGGTTTTGTTTGCCAGGCGTAAGCCCACAGCCGTTGTCCACTGTGGCCATGAGAGGACAGCCAGTGGTGGCAGCTTGCCCCTGGCTCTGGACTGTGGCCTTACCTGCTGCAAGAACAGGCTGTCATCAGAAGCTTGATGCTCTCCTGCCTGTGGCAATGATACCAATCACCAGCTAGATACCACTACATTACCCACAGAGCTAACCAGTGGCAGCTGCTGTGTGTAAACCTGGGAGCACAAAAATGCCAAAACTGGTGGTTTCCAGCCTGTTTTTCAAGGGACCTGTGTTGCTACAGAGGAAATGGAAACCAGATTTAGCTATAAAATCTATGAATGTGCCACAGACAGTTCCCGGCAGCCTGCATCCCAGCCCACCAGCTGGGAGAATCCAGATGCTAATACTGAGCATCAGGTATCACCTAGGTGAGTGCCAAGGCCAAGTTGAAGAAGCCAGGGCTGAGGACCGGCCCAGCCAGCAACCTGCTGTGTGGAAAGCTGGCCAGTGGGGCTGTCCCCTCCCCTAGCTGACTGCTATTGCAGCATCACTGGCACTGGAGAAAGGCTCTGCAGTGGCAGCAGGAGGTAAACATTCAAGAAAAGCTCAGGCAGGAGTGCCGGTGAGGCCCTCTGTGCGGCCTCGGCTGTTGGGGTGTAGCCTGGGGCTTCGGTTTGGCTCTTGCCAAGTGGGCAGGACTGTTATGGCTGTGCTACCAGCTGCCAGAGGCTCTCTGTACTGCACACCCTCATGCTGGTGGTGAGGCCTTCAGGGACCACTGTCCTTTGTGCAACACAAGTTGGAGGGCCACACCCTTCCCAGGCAACTGGACTGTTCCCCAGACATCTTCCAGGCAGGTGCTGGAGCTATGGGAGCCAAGGAACACCAGCAGGGCTGTAACTGAAGCGGAAGGACATGTGACACTTATGTGGCCCAGGAAGACATGGTGGGGAGGGTCAAAGCCCAGAGTGCCCATGTACAAGGGGTCCTGTGGCCTTCCAGTGGGCTTCGACGCCTGTGCAGCAGACACACATCACCCCCACACTGCACCCCAGGCAGAAAAGCCTGCAGCTTGTTGCTGTCCCACTGCTGCCTGGCCATGAGGAGGTGGCTCTGGGAAAGGAGGGCCCAGGGGGGAGCCATCAAGCGCAGCGCAGGCCACTGGGACCTCGTAAGTGGCACACTCACTGGGACTGCAATAGGCCCCGCAGGCCCCACCTTCTTCCTACTGTTTCCTGAGCTATCTTAGCATCACCTTCAGGAATATGAGTGGCCCGTGAACCTGGAGGTTCAGTCTGAGAGGACGGCACGGGGACAGTCGGAGGCCCCAGCAGTCCTTGAGATAGCAGCAGGGATCACAGCCTGTGCAACAGCTGAGGCCAGTTGTGGGCTGCACCCAGCACCCCTGGGTGGCCTGGTACAGGCTGTTGCAGCTACACCCCCACCCCCTGCCAAGGCTAGGCAGAAGGAAGCCTTTGCAGGGAGGAGGGGGAGCCCCAGAGGCAGCCTGGAACCAAAAGGCTCTGTTTGCCCAGGGCAGAGGAAGTTGTCGATACAGGCTGGAGTGGTTTTGTGTTCATTGCTGCTTCCAGACCCAGTCAACAGACCCAGTGCCCTTCTCCCCTGTCCCCAGCCTGCCACGGTCTCTGGGCTGTCCTGCCATGCTCCCTTAGTGAGGCTGCTGGACAGCTTCCCAGATGGCCCTGCAGTTCCTGGGGCCCAGCCTCTATCCCCAAGTCTGCACCTGTGACCTGAAAGGAGGCCTCCCTTAACCACCTGCCCGCCCCCTCCCTGCCCACATCCTCCTGGAGCCCAGCCAGCCGGGGTCCCTTCACAGGCAGAGGCGTGGAGAGGGAAAGGAAGGGATGGGAAGAAGGAAGGGAAGGCTGTAGCTAAGCTTCGGTCCAAGGGTCTGGCAGCAAAGCCTTTGGACAAACAAGGCTGTTTCCGGTGTCGGCACAGACCAGCCTCAGCAGGGGGCACATCGAAACCTGGTGTCTCACGCGGTTCCCAACACACACGCAGGAGGCTAGGGGGTGGCAAAGGGTGCCCTCCCTGAAGGGGCTCGGGAAAGGGTGAAGCAGGGCTCCCACCAGGCGCACAGAGTCCTGGCTGTGTGTGGCAGTTGCAGCATGGGGAGTTACCCACTTTGAGTTAGTCCCCTGGCACTCCAGGCTGGGGGTAGGAGCAGCCAGGAAGTCCCCCTTAGCACCCACAGGATGGAGCCCTCAGTATCTGTTTTTGTGATTTTGTGTTTGTTTTTCTTCAAGATTTACATATATATGTATGTGCTTGAAAGACTGACCAAGTGGGATGGAGAGAGAAATAGCGAGATCTTCTGTCTGCTGCTTTATATCCCAGACAGCTGCAGCAGCTGGGGCTAGGCCAGGCTGAGCCAGGAGCGAGGGGCCCAGGAACTTGGACCATCTTCTGCTGACTTCCCAGATGCGTGAGCAGGGAGCTGGATCAGACGCAGAGCGGCCAGTATTCCAACCAGTGCCGTTATGGAAAGTTGGTGTTGCAACAGGCGGCTTATCCTGCTCCACCACTGCCAGACACCGGCCTCCTTCGGGGATCACTCTCAATCAGGAGGCCAAGGCCAGGGATGAGATAGGGCTCCCTGGGCAAGACAGGAAGCCAGGTCCTTGGTGGGGGAACATTGGGACAGAAGTGGAGCCATCTCTGGCTCCGGCTTCAGCTTGGCCCAGATCCAGCTGCTGCAGGCGTTTGGGGGTGACCCAGTGGACAGAAACTTCTCTCTTTTTACCCCCAGCTCCCCTCCCCTCCCTCTGCTCGCTTCTAGTCAAGTTAACAGGAATCCAGCATGAGTTACCAATGTCACCTATAACCGTGTTTTCTAATAACCACACTTAAAGAGCAAGAGACTAATTTAAAAAAACACCTTTCATTTAGCTCACATTCCTATTGTCACATCAACCTGAATTCAATATAAAACCTCCATGGAGGACCTTTTCCTTTCTTTTTCCCTTGGGAAGTTTTTGAAATCCTGTTTCAGGCTGGGCACCTCCTAATATCAGCATCCCCACACAGTGGGACTCGTGGCCATTGGGGCCCATCGCCACAGTGACAGGGAGCTCCTGGATAAAATGATAGTCACTCGTGTCCCATCCTTTCTCCCGGGTTTTATTCTTGGGGAACAATGTCACCACCAGCCCCGCCCCCAGAGCCTGCCCACGCCCCAGCTGTGCTCATCTGGGCAGCCAGCACTGATGTGATCTGGCACCTGCCGCGCCAGGAAGTCCACTCTTTTTTTTGCTTACAGTGAATCAGATTATCCTTAGTTTAAGGATGATCTTAAGGGCGGTGGTTGAGAACAGCCCTCAGCCTCACCCGGAGCCCCACCCTCGCCCTGCCAGCCCGCCTGCCCGGCTCGCCTGGGTCCCGCCTCCCTGGAAGGGCCCGAGGTCGAAGGTAAAAGCCCTTGTAAGAGGCCTGCAGCGGGGCTGAACCAACTGTGTAAGTAACTGCAGGTAGATATTCAAGACATTTAAACAGCGAGATGCCATCCCAGAGGGAGTCAGGCCTTGCTGTCACGTGGAGCGTGTGGCCCCTTCAGGCCTCTGGCCCCCGCCCGGGTCTCCAGTCATCTGGTCCTAACTCAGGGTGTCTGCACCGTTGCCCCACATTCCTCCTGCCAGGAGTAACCCCAGGAGGAGATTATGGAGCAGGACCAGTGAAATGTATGCCTGAAAAGGTGGGGTTCCAGGCATCCCCTTTCTTGCTGACCTCAAGAGTCCCCAGAGAAAGAGGGTGTAGCACCCCAGCCCTGGGTGCGAGGAAGTGGCCATTAAACTGGCCACCCAGTCTGACTTTCATATGTAAAGATTTATTTTTATTTATCTGAAAAACAGTGATAGAGGGAGACAGATCTTCTCCCCACTGTCTCACTCCCCAAATGACCATGATGGCCAGAGCTGCCTGAGGCTGAATGCAGGAGCCAGGAGCTCCATCCGGACCTCCCATATAGGTGGCAGGAGTCCAAGCACTTAGGCCACCTTTGGCTGCCTTCCCAGGTGAACAGGCTGCTGGATTGCTAGTGGAGCAGCTGGGTCTCGAATCTGCGCTCTGATGTTAGATGCCGGACTCCAGCCCCATTCAGAT